AGGTGTCGCATGGCCCCCCCCCCCCCGGCCCATCTTCGCTCGCTCCGTCGCCGAGCTGAGCGCGATGACCCCCGCAGGGCTGCGCGACATGTCGAAGCTGGCAGGTAGGCATGCTGAGTCGTGCGAGCGGAAGTTCACCCGCAGGCGGTCGGCTGAGTGGAGAGAGTTCGCCAAGGAAGCCGTCGCGAACGGCGGCGGCAAGGCGCGCAGATATACTCGTCTTCCTGTTGGGCGGCGCCCCGGCCATCCAGGGCGCGGAGAGACCCCCCCGGGTCATTGGGCTGAACTCAACCAGATTTTGGAGGAGCGGGAGGAGGTTTGGAAACGCTCCATCGAGGATGACGACCCCGAGGAGTGCATGCAGGAGCTCAACAGCCATTTGGATGCACACGAGATTGCCGAGACTCGTTGCGACCTTGATCGCATACGCCAGGTTGCGAGGGGAGTCAAGAGCTGGACGTCACACGGGATTGATCGTCTTGGGCCGAGGAACTTCACGGTGGTGTCTGGTCAATGTTTTGAAGGACTCGCGCTCCTGTGGGGGTGGATGTTGGCCCGTGGCTTCAGTCCGTCGCAACTTAGCTTGACTCCCATGCCCTACGTGCCAAAACCCGAGGGAGGCACGCGGTGATTCGGGTTGCTGAGCATGGCGGTGCGCCCCTGGGCTCGCCGTTCCCCGACTTTTTGGGCCTGCCAGAGGCCGCCCCCGCACTCTTCAGCGCTGGCTCTCGCCAGCGCCCAACGCCGACCCTGCCTCATAAGTCATGCCTTGCCTCGAATGGGAGGGCCTTTTGGGCAGGCTGAGCGCTGCGGGGGCAGATGTCCAGCGTCTGTCAGGCCTTGCTATAGCTCCAACAGCTGGGCAGATAGGTCCGACAGGGGGCCGCGATACCTTCGACCGGCTTGGACGGATTCCCGAGAGCTATCGCGCCTGATGTCCGCCGTCTAGTTTGACGGTCGATCTCGAGGCGTTCCTCAGGGCTTCGTCGACGCAGCTCTCCGACCGAGGACCCAGGGGTTTTCTCTCGGGGGAACTCCACTGGAGCCATCATCGCCAGGAGTGCGATCACCCCCAGTTAGATGCAGTGCGAGAGGCTCGCGACGACCTCCGCCGACAGGGCAAGGGCATCTAGGCCGATCTTCTCGCCGCCCATGTAGCAGGTGGCCGTGGCCCAGTCCGCACTGCACCAGGATTGTCGCGTGGTCAGTGGGCGCTGCCAGCTCTACCGGGGAAGGCGAGGCACGCCACGCCGCAGGCTCTTTGCGTTTGCGACGGGCCGGTAGGCGGACGGGGGCGCCGAGGGTGCGATGAGGAAGTCACGAGCTGGAGGCGAGGCGACGACGACGACCCTTTCCTCGCGAGGTGAGTCCTTCCCTCTCCTGTCAGGTTCGCGCCGAGCCCCCAGCACTCAGGCGCCATCCAGTGGCCAGTTCGCCCGCGCGACGGGCCCCTTCAGGGCAACCTCTGCGCGGATGGATTGCTCCTTATCCCGCCTTAGCTCTCGTTACTGTTGCTGCTTGGGCGGTGGTGATGATGGGCGCGGGGGGGCGGGTCCTGGCGAGTGTTTGCGGCCCCCTGCCCCGTGCTCTCCACTCCATATCCGGGGCAGAGGCGCATGCAGTTCTGATGGCGTTGAGACTCTCGGGCCCAAGTGACGTCGAGCAGGGTTGCGATTGGAAAGCGATGCGTCCTACCTCCCGCGCGCCGAGCTTTGGGGGGGGCCGTTTCGACGCAGAGGCCGCGGGGAGTCCTTCAGGGCGTCGCATGTCCCTGCCCACAAATCCTGGCCGCATGCACTCCAGTTGGGCGTGCCGTCATGGGTTTGGAAAGAGATCCGCGTTGCTGATGAGGCCGCAAAGGGAGCGGCAAGCGCGATCCCAACTCCCAATGGTATCCGCGAGTGTTTCGAGCAGCAGAGAGCGTTTGTATCTCCGTGGTAGATATGCCGTGGCCATGCTCGAGGTTGCTGGACGCCCTGTCTTTCGAGATGTTGTGGAGGTAATATCCAAGAGGCAGCGCCTGCCAGGAGCCCAGCTTATTCTTTGCCCTGGCCCCAATGATCAGGTGTTCGGGCAAAAAAGGAAAAGGATGGCTTTGCGCGCGTTGCCTTGATCGCGGGCGCAGCTGGACCCACCTCTCCAACTATCGTTTTTTTTGGGGCTCCCGCGGATATGTTGGCAGTCTCACGCGTCCCACCGCTTGCGGGGAGAAGATGCTGAAGCCCCTCTCCCGATTGTTTGGTGCTCCAAGTGCGGTTGTTTCGTTCGGCATCGGGTGCAGCTTCTGGCGGATCGTTGCCCTGGCAGGACTCGCATTGACGCTGCCGCCCGTTCGCTCGAGATGCTGAGGCAAGGAATCGACCCGAGCACCACAGCCTCTTTTGGGCGCAGTGTTTCCCTTTGGCGAGAGAGGATGGCTGCGCACTCAGGTCGAGTGTTTTTCTCAGCCAAGCTTTTGCGCTGCCTGTGCGAAGCGGATGCTTAGCCGAAGCGGAACAGGAGGAGGAGGAGGAGGAGGAGGAGGAGGAGGAGGAGGGCGAGGAGGAGGAGGAGGAGTCGGAGGAGGAAGAGAGAGGAGGTGGACGGAAGAGAAGGTCCGGCAGCATCCCCGCCGCGTGCGCGCGCAGCGACCTGGCTGGGCGTTCTGCGCACCCGCATGCCTTTTGTGGGGCTTCTCGGCACACTGCCAGCGCGGCATCTCCTTGCCCACCTCCCTCCTCTTCCCTTTTCCTCCACCCTTTCCTTCCTCCCTCCCGCCTCCATCCTCCTTGAGGCGGCCCGCCAGCGCGGTCGCGCGTGGCGGGCGCAGGTACGGACGGCGCGGTCCGCCGCCAGTGGTTCGCTCATCCTCCATCCTGGTTCTTTCCCCCCCTCCCTCCTCATGCCTCCTCCCTCCTCCTTCCGCCTTCCTCTTCCCTCCTCCTCCCCCCCCTCACCCCCTCATCCTCCTTCGTCATTTTTTTCGTCCTCCCCCCTCCTCATCCTTCCTTCCTCCTCCGCCCTCCTCCTTGTTCCTCCTTTTCCTCCTTCCTCCTCATACTCAATCCCCCCGACCCTTCCTCCTCCTCCTCCTCCTCCTCCTCCTCCTCCTCCTCCTCCTCCTCCTCCTCCTCCTCCTCCTTCTTTGTTCGTTTCCCTCCCCTTGTCTCCTGTCATCCTTTCTTTCCTTCATCACACACCTCTTCATTTGTGCTCCTCGTTTTTGTTCCTCCTCCTCCTCCTCCTCATCATCATCATCATCAGCAGCAGCAGCATCATCATCATCCTATTCCTCCTCCTCTTCCTCCGTCCTCCTCTCTGCTTCCTCCTCCTCCTCCCTCCACCCTCTTAGTTCCAGCCTTGCGCTGCGAGCAGGACTTACCGCTCCGCAAAAAGGGCACACCGCTAGAGGGCGCTGGCCCGCCGACCCTAGCTGCGTCGGCCCGCGGGCCCTCCGGGGCGGCGGCGCTCTCGGCGAGGCGTTCTTCGAGCAATGAGTTGCGGGCAGGTTTGCCACTCGCGATGTCTGCCGCCGTCCCCACCCTCTCCCTTTCCCTCCTCCTCCTTCATGTCATCGTCATTGCCTCTCCTCCTCGTCCTATCTGCCCTCCTCTCCTTGGCACTTCTCGTCCTACTTCACCATCCGTCATCATCGTCCCTCCTCGTCCTCTTCCATCCGCATAGATGATGTCCCCCCCTCGCGCATCATCAATTGTCATCTTCCGTCTCCTCCTCCTCTGCCTCACCCTCCTCGTCCTCCTCCTCCTCCTCGTCCTCCTCTTCATCCTCCTCCTCCTCCTCCTCCTCCTCCTCCCGCTCCTCCTCCTCCTCCTCCTCCTCCTCCTCCTCCTCCTCCTCCTCATCCTCCTCATCCTCCTCATCCTCCTCATCCTCCTGCTCGTCGCCGCCGCCGTCGCCGCTGTCATCGACCTCCATCCTGTTTCTCAAAGTACCCCATCACGCGTTTCGTGCGCCACAGGGAATTCCGCCTACGGCCTCAGCGAGGGCGCCCGCATGGCGGCGCCGCGCCGAATTCGACGCGCCCCTCGCGCGTGTCGCGCCCAACAGGGAGGTCCAGCCCTTTTGGGTGCGTCCGCATACCGCCTCCCGCCGTTTCAAGCACAGTCATCACACGGCTGGTGCACCACAGGAAGCTTCACCAGCGGCACGATGTGGGTGCGTCCGCACAGCGGCGCCGCGCCAGTTTCGGCACAACCCTCCCGCGCCTCGTCCCCTACAGGGAGCTCCACAGGCAGCCATTGCAGCGAAGGCTGTCCAGGAGCCCCCCCCCAAAAAATAAACACTGACGTGGAATTGCTCCTCGCTCCCCCCTCCCAGGCATGGGCCCCCTCCCCCCTGACCTCTCGACCCCTGCCCAGAAGTCGGCCGACGAGCCCTGAAGGGCCCGAAGCCCGCCCCCGGATCCAGACCCCCAAACGCCGTGATGCCTTCGCAGCGTGGACCGCCCTCGAGGTCTCGACCTCTCCTCCCCCGGAACCGGCCTCTCCTCCCGAGGCGCGTTCTTGGAAGGTCCTCGGGCCCTGCCCCATGGAGGCCGAAGAAGAGAGCCCCAGAGCTGCCCGTCGCGATCCTCTCACGACGCGGGGACCTCGGGGCAGGAGGGGAGGGCAGCACTGCCGCCTCGCTCGTTCGGGGCGCTGTTCTGTCCCTGCTCCTGCTCCTGCTCCTGTTCCTCCTCCTCCTCCTCCTCCTCCTCCCCCTCCTCCTCCTCCTCCTCCTCCTCCTCCGCCTCCTCATGCTCGTCGCCGCCTCCTCGCCGCCGCCTCTTAAGTCGGGCCTGTCCCTCATCCTCATCTTCCTCCTCCTCCTCTTAAGTCGGGCCTGTTCCTGTACAGGAGGAATACTCAACGTAGTTTAAAACATAGTATGGGGATGCTTCTTACTATGTTTGAGTATATTTGATTATGTTTCGAGTGTTGTTCTTTTTGTCGTACAGCATGCGCCTGTAGGAGGACATGCCCGAACTAATCATCTTCCTCGCCGCCGCCGCCCCGCCCCAGGTGGCGCAGCGCTTCGCCGCGGCGGGCGGCGAGCCGTGCTCGGCGCTCACGGCGGCGGGGTGGCTGGGGCTGGCGAAGCAGTTCTGCCTGTTCGACCTGCAGGACCACGAGCGCCCTGGCACCCTCTCGTTGTGGCAACATCGCGCTGTTCTCGGGTGCTTCCCTGAGATCCTGGCGACTCCATTTTTTCGAGCCGAGCGTTTTCGCTCGATTTCGGGCCCGGGACCCTCAGAGATCGATCCGGCTCTGGAACAGTGACGCAGAAAAATGGAGTCTAGGGCTCTGGGCGTGATTTCGTTTTCGCTACGTCGGATCTCAGGGTCGTGACCACATCGCGCCGTTCTCGGGCGCTTCCGTGGGCTTCCGGAGGCCCCCCCGTCCAGCCTCCGGAGGGCTACTTTCCAGCAGCTGCGCCTCGACGGGAGCGCGCGAGGCCCCGATAGCGTCCCGAACGGCCGCTGGAGGCCCGCGCGACGGGCCGAAGATGGACATCCCCGCGTTGCGGCAGAGATCACGACCCAGACATGTTCGCGTCGTAAACAAATCAGGACGCGAGGTTTTCGGCTATTTTTGGCCCTGGGGGGCCCTCGCTGGGCCTCGGGACCGCCGAAAAAAAACGATTCCGGACGAAAAACTTGTCCCGGGGAAAGGGTCGGGACTTCCAGGGACGCCGTCCTGAAAAAATCAGGACGTCGCATGTCTGGGGACCGAGGGCGTTCGGCCGTTTTCGGCTTGATGTGGCCTTCCCTTGGTCCCCATCAGGGCCGTCGAAGCTGAGAAGCCGATTCCAGGGAAAGGGTCGAGACTTTCCGACGCCCCGCATGGAGAAGATCGAGACATTGGATGTTTGGGGGCGGGGGGACCCTGGCAGGCACACAGTCGGACCGAGGGATCAGATCGAGGTCGGTTCGGGGGGGGGGGCCTAATATTCTTCGCGTCTGCTGGATGTTCTTGTGCACTCTGGGGGAGGGCAACCTCGAGTCTTCTGTGTGCCTTGGCCGGCGGAGGAACTCCTGTTCTTGAAGGATGCTCTTCTGTCTCAGGCCCAGCATGTAGGACGCGAGGATAGATCGCGTCAGAGCGAACCTGGACGCTCCAAGAGTGCCCCAGAGCGCCCAGGGGCGGCGCCGCGGCACCCGGGACATCCTCCGATATAGCCCGGCCGTCCTGGAGAGCCGGGCTCTCCAGGACCCTGGGCCTGTCTCGGGCCCAGACGAGCGCGAGGAGTGCGCGGCGTTTGCACGACGAGGGTAGTTCGCTACAGAGCGTTCCTGGTCGCTCCCAGAGTGCCCTGGATTGCCCCGGAGCGCCCGCGGCGCCCGGGAGATCCTTCGATAGCTTGGCCGTCCTGGAAAGCCGGGCTCTCGGGGACCCTGGGCGCATTTCGATTCCTCCGATTCGACCCGATTCGATTTCGGTGGCTTTCGATTCCGAGTCCTTCTCGATTCCGAGTCAGATTCCGGCATGCTGAGGGAGGCCTATACCAGCCTGCCGATTCCTGCCGATTCGACTTCTCCCGACTCGGCTGCCGATTTCCGACGAGCCGATGCAGCTCGATCGCCGATCCGAGTTGTCGATTCGGCTCTGGGCTCTCCTGCCGGGACCCGTGGGCCTGTCTCGCGAGCGGGCGAGCGCGAGGAGTGTGCGGCGGGGCCCCACAGCGTGCTGCAGCGCCGGCCGCACACTCCCCGCTCGGGAGGAGCACAGGGCCTCTCGCCTTGGAGACCGCGCAAGTGGGGGGGGCGACCTATTTATGGGGGGGGGGGCAGCGAGGGCTACCGAAAAGAGGCCCCCCAGGGCCCCTGGAGCCGGGCCCGGGACGGGCACGGTTCTTCTCCCCCCCCCCACCACAGGTATCGCCACCCCGTTGCTGCGGAAGCCCCTGCCCAAAAGCGCCCTGCCTGCCTCCAGGGTGCCCTCCCTGGGTGTTCTTGCGCCTCGATGGCTCTGCTGTGCATGGAGAGAGCGCGGCGCTCCGGCACCAGCAGTCGAGCGACGTCCTGGGTCCTCAGGGTTGGGCTTCTTGTGGAAGGGGTTTCTCCCCCTCCTCCTCCTCCTCCTTCTCCTCCCCCCTCCTCCTCCTCCTCCCCCTCCTCCTCCTCCTCCCCCTCCTCCTCCTCCTCCTTCACCTCCCCCTCCCCTCCTCCTCCTCCCCCTCCTCCTTCTCCTCCCCCCTCGCTCGCTCGCTCGTGGCTGGTGTGGAATCCTGTAGCCATGCAGACCTGTACTGCCACCTCCCCGCGGCTGAACCCAGCGGGGAGGTGGGGGCGCATCAGGAAAAAGTGAGAAGCAAGATGTAAGAAACGAGGTGCCATAAATGGCCCAGCTAGGAATGGAGAGGTGGGGCGCCTGAACAGAACAGCCAGGGTGGCAAGGGCCCCCGCCCCCCTCCTCCTCCGCCTCCTCTTCCTCCTCCTCCTCCTCCTCCTCCTCCTCCTCCTCCTCCTCCTCCTCCTCCTCCTCCTCCCCCTCCTCCCTCCTCCCTCCTCCCCCTCCTCTCTCGCAGCGGCCTCTCGGTCGCCCCTCCTCCCGCCTCCCGCCCGGCGCGGCGCGGAGAGTGGCGGAGGCCCGCGGCGCCCGCGGGCCCGCCTCGCCGGCCCGCCCTCTCTGCAGGCCCTCTCCTGGGATAAAATCGGGCCTGTCCCTCTATAGGAGGACTATTGAAACATAGGTATATACATACATATGTGTATATTATTAGTGATATTATTATTATTATTATTGGTATTGTTATTGTTATTGTTATTGTTATTGTTAATAATAATAATAAAATAATAATGATAATATCATTAACATGATTATTACTAAACTTATCATCAATAAAATTAGTATTATTATTATTCTTAGTATTATTATTATTAAAATTAGTATTAGTATTAGTATTCGTATCATCATATCTCTCTATACATATATGGATAGTCTGGGGGCGAGGTTTTTGAATATGTTTGAACATGTGCTGTTTATGTTTGGGGTATGTTTGATTCTTCCTCCAAAATTTGCCTGCAGGAGGACGTGCCCGACCTAATTCTAGGATCGGGGAAACGTGTAAGACTCGAGTAAGCCGGCACTCAGATTGGCCGACCTTTTTGACGGGCGCGTCCTGGATGTTTACGGTCCGATTGTGTCGTGGGATGCTTGCAACGAGAGTTTGCGCCAAATTTCATATTGGGCCTCGTCATGTTCATGCCGGCCCCGTCAGGCCAACTCGAGTCTCCCGTACACGAGTCTTACGTCTCACGTCTCCCCGACAGGAGACCATCGGACCGAGGTATAAGATCGAGGTCGTTTCGGGGAGAGCACTCTAATCAGCAATGGCGAGGCGTCATGGCTTGCCGAACGTTCTTCGTGTTTGCTGGACATTCCTGCGCATGCTGGGGGTGGGTACCCTCGAGAGCTCTTCATCCTGGCTGGCGGAGGGTCTCATGTTCTTGAAGGATGCTCTTCTGGCCTAGGTCCGAGTGCATGTGTCCCCGATGTCGACTTCTGGAGGCCCTTTCGGGCCACCAGATGGTCAAACATCGATCCAGGAGTGAAACGTTCTAGGCTTTCCAGATGAAGTCCGAGTTGTCGTGGTCGGAGGATCGCGCCGCATCACAAATGCACCGGGGATGCGGCTCGATGTGGAGCCCGGCTTTCTCCACGTCGACGGCGCCGGTGCATCGCCGACGTCGCCGATGCATCGGCGATGCATTGGGGATGCTTCGGGGATGCATCGACAATGCGGAGCGAACCTCTGACCCCATCCACCCCGACCCCATTTGGGAGGCCGTGAGCGGAGTTCTTGATCTTGATCGGGTCTCTTCGCTCGCGTCACGGACTCGGCGGTAGCCTGACCACCTCTTTTCTGCCAGAGGGCGACCGTTTAGCCCGCAACCCATGGTTGGTTGTCTAGGGTCTTGATGCGCGAGTCCTTAGTTGCCTCGCTGCGCGAGTCCAGGGCTTTCGTATCGTGCCTGACAGGCGGCGTGAGGCTGTGTTGCGCGAGTTCCCTGTCCTTCACTTTCCCCCCTCTCCCCAAAAATGCACTGTGAAAGAAAATGGTGGCCTTGACCGTATCCCGGGAGGCCTTGTCTGCACTCGTTTGTCATGGCGACAGGGCAGCGGCTTCGTGGGAGTCATCAGCGAAGACGTGGAACCCGATGTGAATGGTGCCCCTTTTCGGCACCAAGTGTCTCGTGTTTGGCCGTGCAGGCACGCCGTCCGGCGCAAGCCTTGCGTTCGTCTTTTGTCCCTTGGGCTCTTTTTGATGGGCCAGTTGTCGACCACCACTACCACGAGTAGGACGGGGAGAAGGGACGATGCGGGGGTCCTCCTCCTCCTCCTCCTCCTCCTCATCCTCCTCCTCCTCCTCCTCCTCCTTCCTTCCTCCTCATCCGCCCTCCTCCTCATCCTCATCCACATCCTCATCCTCCTCCTCCTTCTCCTTCTCCTCCTCCTCCTCCTCCTCCTCCTCCTCCTCCTCCTCCTCCTCCTCCCTCCTCCTCCTCCTCCTCCTCCTCCTCCTCCTCCTCCTCCTCCTCCTCCTCCTCCGTCTTCTCCTCTCCCTCCCCCTCCTCCTTCCCCCCCCTCCCTCCGCCTCCCTCTCCTGCCCGTGCTGCAGCGGTGGTGGAGAAACCCGGCCCATCGCTCCCCCTGCCGGCGGGCCCGCCGCCAGCTCCTGCCTCGCGAGCCTGGCCCTCGCGAGCTCGGCCCGCCGCCGAGGCCAGGGGGCGCGCCGAGGGTGCGGTTCGTCCCCAGAGCGCCCAGGGCTGTCGCAAGGCCAACGTAGCTGCTATCCAAAAGTCGGGCCAGTCCCAATACAGGAGGAATGTCCAAGAGTAGTCCAAGCATAGTCTGAGACGCTTCTTCGATTATTGTTGGACTATTCTTGAACTTTTTGGGGCTATGTTTGATTGTTCCTCCAAGAAATCCGGCTCGCCTGTGCGAGGACATGCCCGACCGAATACTACCCGCATGTAAGGCACTTGCAGATATCTTCGGATGGCATCGCCGGCACCGCACCCAACAGGCCCCCTCCCCCCCCCTCCCTGCAGCGGTGCCCACCCGCGCGGGCCCTCGGCCGCGCATCTGGGGAGGGGGGGTGCGGGGCATTTATAGCTGGCATGATGCGCCCGTTCTGAAACGCCTAGGGGGGTGGCCGGGCACTTAGCTGCCCTGATACGCCCGCTTTGACACGCAACACGCGCCGTGTGCAGAGCGTCCTTGTTCACGCGCTGCGTGTCGGCTCCACGTGTTAGCGAGCGTATCGCACCAAGCGTGCGTGGTCAATCTACATATTGAGCTCCGCGTCAACACGTTACGGGTTGAGCGTTGCGTATCGGGGCGGTTAAGGCCTGGCAAGATGCCGCCCAGAGAGGAGGCCATGTCCTATTCAGCCACGTGCGGAGGGGGGTAGGGGGGAGGGGGAAGGCGTATCAGAAGGAGACAGCTTCTCAGACGGCGCGGAACTTGTCTGTAGATGTAGGGCCACGGCTGCGTGTGGCGCACGGTGTGCCCCCGCTCCACTCTGGGTCTCCTGTGTAGGGTCCGAGCAGATGGGGCCAGAGGATCGTGCCGCATCGCCGATGCATCGCCGATGCGGCTCGATGCAGAGCCTGATTTTCTCACCGACGGCGCCGCTGCATCGCCAGCGCATCGGCGATACATCGCCGATGTAATGGCGATGCGGCGCGATCCTCCGACCCCATCTACTCGGACCCCATCTAGGAGGCCTCCATCCACGCTGTAGGCGCCCAGAGAAGGCCTCGCCTCCGGCGCGTCTCGCTCTCTGCGGAATTTGGCGGGAGGCTAGCGGCCACAGGGAGCGGCGGCAGTAAGATGGCAGCGGGTGGTGCGCGCGCGGCGCTGCGGAGAGAAGGCAAGGGTCCAACAGCACGGAAGGGCCAGGGGCCACAGCAGACTTGCCTCGCTCTTGGGCGGGCCCTGCCAGCCGGGCCGCGCATCGGCCAAACAGGGCCGCCGCGAACCCCGCACGTTGTGCGCGTCGACGACGACGACGACGACGACGACGACGACGACGACGACGACGACCACGACGGCGGCGGCGGCTGCGGCAGCGGCGGCTGCGAGCACAGCGGCGGCGACGGTGGTCGCGGCGACCGCCCTCGTCAGCGCCACCCGCGCACGAGGAGCTTCCGCAGCTGATGACGGACGCGGGCGCCATCGCGCAGTGCACCAAGCTCATGGAGAAACACATAGGCGAGGGGGGGGGCCTCGACCCCTCTTGTGCCCCACTCAGTCGGTGGCGCGGCGCAGGTGGAGTGAACGGAATGTTGGGTCTCCGTCGGCATAATCCCAGCACAAATAACTGCCATCCCTCCTCCACTTCCTGCCCACTCCTCTCATGCACGCCCCTCCGTCTTTCCTCGTCCCTCCCTTCACCATCCCCCTTACTCCTCCATCCTTCCCCCTCCTCCCTCCTTTCGCCTCCCTCCTCCAGCGCACGCGCAGGAGCCCGAGCGGGGAGGGGGAAGTCGAGGGTGAAAAGGCGGAGGAGGAGGAGGCGAAAAAGGAGGTGAAGGATGGGGAGGAGGAGTCTGGAGAGGATGAGACTCATCATCCTCCTCTTCCTTGATGATGAGGCAAAGGTAAAGGAGAAGGACGCCAGCTGTCGCACAGCAGACCTGCATCCTCACGCCATCTCTGGTGCGACCGCGTCCCATGGTCTTTGCTTGGAATCGGGCGCCACGCTGGCTTCCCATACTGTCTGTCGGGGCCTCTCACCCAGGTGTGGCCTCATGTCGCGTCCATCGACTGCATGTGCTCAGGGCTGCTGCTCTCTTTCTACATCTTTGTGTAAGTTGTTTGGCCACCCTGGACCTGACCCTGGACGACAGGCTCTTCGCCGTCTTGAGGTCCCGTCACGCCGTCGGTTTGGGCTCTGCGCCTCCCTGGAGTGCACCTTCTCCCCCGACGTGCGGCTGCTCGCTGCTGGCGCGCAGGTGTCGCGCGCCTGTCGCCGTCACCCCTCCCTGCCCTCTCGGCCCTCCGCGACGAGCCACACTGTTCTTTGGGACGTCGTAGTGGCTGATCGGACGCTTGGTATACCCGAGACAGATCTCATCGACTCCTTCGACGACCCCAACGGGCTTCAATGGCATATCAGGGTGCTGGTGCTGGCTACGCCGAATCGTGCCCGGCCGCCGCCATAAAGGCCCCCCGCCTCCGCTGCAGTCGGGGGCGGCCAAGAGGGGGGTGATGAGGAGGGACTAGGGGGGGGAGATCATGGCGGGGGCCATCATATCTCCCCGGATTTCACGGCGCCTCTTCTTATTTCAGAGCGTCCTTGGCCCCACCCCCCCTGGGCCGCGCACATGCCGCCGGCCATGATTTGCACCCCCCCCTCTTCGACGCCCCCCTCCTGGACGCCCCCGATGCGGCCCCTCTGCCTGGCGCTGCGTGGCCTCGCCCAGCGCCCCGGCAGATGTGCACCTGCCTGGCGCCCTCGCGGCCCGGCCTGGCACCCTGCCAGGCAGCCTGGCGGCCTCCGCGGCCTCTCGGCTGCCTTTCGACGCCGGCGCTATGCTCTGCTGCTCCATGTGGAACAAGAAGGCGAGACGATCGCTGAAGATCAATCCGCTACCTGGAGGCTCGCCCTGCGCGGCCACGCCCATGCTGTGCCGTGAACACCTTCCCTGGTCATCTTTCGCGCGCAGATCGCCATGACGTTGGCCCCTTAATCCATTGCCGACTGCTCCTTGGTTGAGGCCAACAGTCGGCGGTGACGTTGGCCTCCACCAGGCATGCCACCCGTGTTTGCGATTACGCTACCCGGATTGCGCTTGTGGTCGCTCCCCCAATTCGGGCGTTGCCAACGGTGCCCCTGGCCCAACGTGCCTCCAGCTCTCCGCCGCATGTTGGAGAGCCCGGGGTCCTCTGGGCCTCGTGAGAGGTGCTCTGGAGGCCGCGAGGGCCTCCTTGGAGATCCTGGGGGTACCGTGGGCCTGAGGCACCTCTAGCAACACCCGACCTATTTCGAAGAAAAACGTCATAAGCATGAACAGTTGGCGCTCCGCGCGGATGTCTTGGGTCCGCGCTGGACCCCCCCGCCCTGGCCCGCGGAGCGCGCCATGGGCGGCGCCAGAGGCGCCGCCCGAGGGAGGCCCAGCGCGGACCCAAGAAATCCGCGCGCAGCGCCAAAAGTTCATAATTACGTCGTTTTTTCTTCATCCACTATTGGAACCCACCTGGACCTTCACACAATTCCTGTCCTCGCCCTGGACTTGCTGTGAGCCTGCGCCCTCTATACCAACGCCCGACCTATTAGAATCCATCTGGACCCTCCTCCTCCTCCTCCTCCTCCTCCTCCTCCTCCTCCTCCTCCTCCTCCTCCAGTCCCCGACCTTTTGGAACCCATCTGGACCCTCCTCCTCCTCCTCCTCCCTCTCCTCCTCCTCCTCCTCCCTCCTCCTCCTTCTCCTCCTCCTCCTCCTCCACCTCCTCCACCTCCTCCTCCTCCTCCTCCTCCGCACCTTCGCACGACTTTCGGTGAGCTTGCGCCCGCTCCGTCGCAGCGCCGAGGGCGCGCGAGCGCCCGACCCCGGCCCCTCCCGAAAAAAGTCCTTCGCGTCTCCTGGGGGCGCTCCAGCCGTCCCCAGCGCCCTGCCCCCATGCCTCCCCTCGGGGGTGGCCAAGAGGAGGGGGCGGCCAAGAGGAGGGGCGATGACTAGGCTTCAGTCGGGCCTGTCCCTCTACAGGAGGAATATTCAAGAATAGTCAAAGAATGGTCTGGTGCCCTCTGTTTTTTTAGAAAAAGATTAAATATGATGTGCGTTGTTTGCGTAATTTGGTTTTTCGCCCAAAATCCGCATGTCTTTTGATCCGCGCTGGGCCCCCCCCCGGGCGGCGCCTCCGGCGCCGCCCTTGACGCGCTCCGCGCGCCAGGGAGGGGGGTCCAGCGCAGATCCAAGAAATCCGCGCGGAGCGCCAAAAGTTTATGTTTATGCCCTTGTTTCTTCTTCAGTGGGGGAGATGTCATGGCGGTGGCCATGATATCTCCCCAGATGTCATGGCGCCTCTTCTTATGTCACAGCGTCCCTGCCCCATCCCCCGCCGCGGGCCACGATTTGCGCTCCCCTCTTGGACGCCACCCTCTCGGGCGCCCCCGACTCCTGCCTTTCCCTTCCTGCGTGCCCCATTCGCCCCGCCGATAGCAGACCGCTTGCTGGATCCAGTTCGCCGCCGGCCCAAAAAACATGTTGTTGCTATGACCTCCATCTCTCAGGTCCTCACGTTCGTGTTAGGCCTCCGATGGTTTCAGGGACGATGCAGTCTGATCATACCTCCTGCAAAGCTGGGCACGCTTCTCTCTTCACATCAGCGGATCGATGCGCAGCTCGTGAATACAGCGGATAATCGGAAGACTTTCGTCCCATCCCGCCACCGTGCCTGGGTTGTGGGTCAGAGTTCTCAGGGATGCGTCTTGGAGCGCTCGCGGGAACCTCTTGGGGTGCAGTTTTGGGATCTCGTGGAAGCCTCTTGGGAACCTCTTGGGGGCCTCTTGGGGCCTCCTGGTGGGCTCTTGAGGGCCTCTTGGGGGCCTCTTGAGGGGCCTCTCGTGGCCTCCTGGGGGGCCCCTCGAGGCCGAGGGCTCGAAACGTCGGTTCGGGTTTCCATCTGGGCCCTCTCTTGGAGCCGCCCTTGGGCCATCTTGGGCCATCTTGGGCGCCTCATGGGCCGGGCCGTCTGAGGGCGTCCAGAAGTCGAAAAGGCGAGAACGCAAAACACTGACAAAAGCCTAATGCGAATCAATGGTATGTGCTTCCCGGGGCCCTCTCAGGAGGCCTCTTGGGACGTGTTGGGATCTTCTGGGGCCGTCTTGAGGCCATCTTGGGCGTCTTGGGGCGATCGTTCGGCGACTAGGGGCCCTCTTGGACCGTCTTGGGGGCCTCTTGGGGCCCCGTTGCCTCGTGTTGGTGTCCTCTTGGGCCCGAGACAGTCGCGCGAGAAGACGGTCCAAGGCCCACGGGGCACGCGGTGAGCCCCGCGAGTTTTGGCAGTTTTGGGTTTGGGGCCTTCACGAACCCTTCGACTCGAGGACTGAGGTTCAGGGGACTGGGCAGAGGATCTGAGGACACGCCCACTCAGTGCCCAGCGGCAGGGTGGCGGATCTGGCCAGGCGCAGGCGTTTCCTGAAACGTGGGGAGGGCATCTTCACTTTGCTCCTCCCCTCCTTCCACCTCCCCAACCATCCTATTGTTGTTACCCTGACCTGCCTCTAACCGTGTTCTTGCTAGCATCGCTGCTGTTGTTCGACCTTACCCCCCGTGTGTTTACTGACAGACTTTAACAACTAGTCTGGCTTCAGCCCCTCGATGGCGGCACATATCGGGGAATGAGTAGCTTCGCTCCCTGTCGTCGCTCGAAATGGCTTTTGTTTGCTTCGTCCCTCTGTTGCTCTGCTCTCGGTGTTGGCAGTGCCGACTCGCGATGGTTCCCCTGGAGGGGCAGCGGACTTGTCTTGTCCCTGGGCAGGTGTTCGTTCGTCCCTCTTCGAGCTCTTCTCTTCGAGCTGGTGCACTCCCCTCTCTTCCTCCTCCTCCTCTTTCTCCTCCTCCTCCTCGTCCTCCTCCTCACCCTCCTCCTCTTCCTCCTCCTCCTCCTCCTCCTCCTCCTCCTCCTCCTGCTCCTCCTCCTCCTCCTGTTCATCCGTCCTCCGCCTCCTCCTCCGCCTCCTCCTCCTCCTCGCTGGCCCCCGCAGTGTCCCCAAAGGGGATCTGGCCCTCAGCGAGAGACATCCCCCTGCAGGGCCCCACATACGTCGTGCCCCGTGAGTGGTTCACGAGCACGTAGTCCGTGTTCTTTCAGTTTGGGTTGTCTCTGGCCGTCTCTCGCTGTCTTTGGCCGTCTCCCGCTAGTCTGAGGCACTCCATCGGACCATCGGTGCCGCTCTGCTCTGCTCATCCTCCCACGACGGCGAATATTATGACATCGACGACGAATACGGCGATGCTGACGGGGGCGACGGCTTCAAGCTTCAAGGCGACTCCTTGGTGCAGCGGGGAAGGGGGAGGAGGAGGAACAGGAGGAGACACGAGCGCCCTCAGGATCGAGGCACCGAGGAGAGGGTTGAAGAGGACCAGGACGACGACGTCGACGTCGACGACGACCCAGGCATCTAAGCTCGCGTTGTTCTCGCCACGTGGCTTCCCAGAGGTCTGCACCACTTCCCAGGGACTGGCTGCTCATCCTGAGTCGTTTATTGAATGTCCATGGGCCCGGTAAGGCCCACAAGAGGCCGAGAGCTGCCAGACCGATTATGCCGTTTGTTTGTCTTCACGGAGCGACGCGAGATCGGGAGAGACGACAGCGCCGACGACGACGCTTCCGGCTCCGAGGCGACCCCGTGGTGCAGCTCGGGGGCATCGAGGCCATGTCCAGCTTGGTGGGCAACCGCTGGGCTGGACTCCAGTCCTTTGCGGAGGTCGGCGGCATGAGGCCCCCAGCGGAGGGGGTGCGCCGCTGCCACCGCTCGCGGCCCCGCCGTCCGTCGCAGGGTCTACGTCGATCCGACCGATCCGATTCGATATCAGCCCTGGCTGGCCCGATTCGAGTCGGTCCCGATGTTCGAGCGATCCGATGCGGCCCGGCCCGATGACTGCGTGGCTCCGTGATGCATCCTGGCGCCGATCCGATCCGGTTCGATGCCGGCGCCGAGAAGAGGCGGCCCGAGCCGACGCACATGTCGATTCGATCCGGCTTCCTCCTCCTCCTTCTCCTCCTCCTCTTCCGCTTCCTCCTCCTTCTCCTCCTCCTACTGCCGTCGTCGGCACCGTCGAGCGTCCCTGACCTCCGAGTCTGAAACGGGCGGTCTTGCGCCGTCTTCGGCCTTTGGGGGCGCGCCCCTGCGCGGGCCCCTGGGGACCTCGAGAGAGACGGCTCGGAAGAGGGGGAGCCGGGAAGGGGCTCAGGCCTCTGGGGAGCCACGCTGGTTGAAGAACGCGACGTCGGATGTCTGGGGAGGAGAAGGAGGAGGAGGAGGAGGAGGAGGAGGAGGAGGAGGAGGAGGAGGAGGAGGAGGAGGAGGAGGAGGAGGAGGAGGAGGAGGAGGCGGAGGGGGAGGAGGAGGGGGAAGAGGGGAGAGGGGGGCAGGAGCGATGTGGGAGGAGGGAAAAGCTAGGCGTGAGGAGGGAGGAGGAGGGAGGGGGGGAGAGAGGAGGAGAGAAGAGAGAGGAGGGAGCAGGAGGGAGGGGGGAGGGAGCAGGGGGGAGGGGGGAGGCGGCGCCCCCGCTGCCACGTGGCGGGCTCCCCCCTGGAGAGCTTTCTGGTCGCGGGCGCGCCTTCCTCCCGGGAGTCGGGGGGGGGGACAGAGCGCACCCCGGCAGAGGCCCCTTGCGCCGCGGAAGGCACGGTGGCAGGCTCTGGACCGTCCTCGGCCTCCGGGGCTCCGTGGCGGCCTCTGCGGGTCCTGGCCGGTCTTCCGTCTGCAGGTCAGGCCCGCGCCTTCCAAGAAGCAGCCTCCTTCTGGATTCGTGCGTGTCAGACGGAGGCTGCTTCTTCGAGAGAGGAGACGGAAAGAGAGAGAGAGAGAGAGAGAAAACAAAAAAAGCAGCCTCCTTCTGAGAAGCCTGCCCCCCTCCCCCCAAACCCCTCTGCGCGTGGCCGAGGGCTGCAGGGAGGCCTCTCCGGCGGCCCCTGGGCTCCGGGGCAGCCGAGGCCCGATCTGACCTTGCGGAGAGAGCCGATCGCTCGAGGTTGGCCGAAGGATTGCAAAAAAAACCGAAGGATTGCAAAAACAACTCTTCGGTTGTTTTGCAATCCTTCGTTTTTTTGCAATCGCCCGCGGTGTCAGGGGCCATCCGCGCCGAGGTCGGCACGACACGAGCCTGCCGTACCGGGTGCCGCTGCCCCTGGCTCGCGGTGGCCTTGTCGGGCCTCCTCGGAGGCCCTCGTCGCCACCGTTGGGTTCGCCTCGGAATTCTGGTCAGATCAGCAGCCCGCAGAAGGGGTACAGGTCCCTAAGGGCTTGTCGACTTTTCGCCGATCGACTTGTGGGGAGCGAGCCAGAAAAATCCAGGTAAATGCAGATAAATCGAGGTAAATCCAGATAAATCCAGGCAAATCGAAACAAATCCGGGTAAATCCAAAGATCTCCGAGGAAAGGTGAAGCAACTCGCGGCCGCTCCAGCGCGAGTCGAAGGACGGCAGAAGTCGTTAAGCTTTTAACGAACAGGGGGAGGGGGGAAGACTTCTTTGAAGCACCCCTGCTTCATAGAAGACGCGGGCCTTGCCTGTAGATGCAGGGCCGGCGCCTTCTAAGGAGCAGCCTCCTGCAAGCCTGTTCCCCCTCCCCCTACCCCATCTTGCGCGCCGCTAACAGTTCCCGGGATGGGGTCCTGACATCCGAGGAGCAACGTCGTGGAAAAGTACGGCGTCAGACGTCTGGGTCGTCGTCGTCGTCGCCGTGGTGGTCGTCGTCTGCTTTGGCGGGCTGCGGGCGCTCTTGGGGCAGTCATGGGATGCTCGAGGGGGGCGGCAGGGAGCAGCGAGGAGCGAGGAGGGAAGAGGGAGGAGCGACGGGGAGGAGGGAGGAGGAAGGAGGAATGAGGAGGATGAGGAGGGCAGGAGGAGAAGGAGGCCTCCTCCTGCTCGTCCTCCACACGATTTGCTCGCAACGTGGACCCGCAGAGGTCTGGAGCCTTTCCTGGAGACCCGCCTCTCATCCTGAGCCGTTGTCTCACAGCCTTGGGGCCCCATAGGTAGAAAAAACAGCCCAAAGCCTTTCGTTTCCGGGGGCATCGCTCAAGATTCCAGCGGTCGCTCGGGACGACGAGGGGCACCCCCAGAGCCTTCTCGCGGCGAGGCGAACTGCTGGAAAGCATCCCGAGGCTGGAGCAGCTTCAGGGCAGCGGCCCAAGAAACCTTCTCAGCGGCACCGTAGCGGGTACTCACTAACGGGTACGTCGAGGCCCGGCGAGGGCCCCCAGATACGGAAAACTGGGAAAAACATCCCGTCACGATAGAGGAAAGAGAACTATGCACATACACCGATTCTGGCCAGGCCCATCCTGAGCCAAGGATCGGTGCATACGCCCTCCTACCTTGGCCAGGAAGGTATATGCACCGATCCTGGGTCAAGGATGGGCCTTGCCAGGATCGGTGCATGTGCATAGTTCTCTTCGCCCGACACGAGTTTTTCGTTCTTCCAGGGGGTCTGGGAAAGCTACCTATACCGCTACCCTTCCTCGTTTTTGCCTTGTTGGCCCTCCTGGGAGGCCCTCGTCGCCACCGCTGGATTCGCTTCGAAATTCTGGTCAGGTCGCACCCCAGGCGAGGTCCATGGAGTAGCGGTATCAGTACCTTGTGGTTTCCCCAGTTGGGGGCGGAGGTTGGCGCCGCATCGCCGATACAGCGGCGCCCAGGCATCCCTGGCGCCTCGGAAAACTCGAAACTGCTCTTTGTCATCGTGTTCGGCCTCTCGGGGCCCTCACTTGGCCTCGGGACCGTAGGGAAAGTGCTCGGGATGGAAAACCAGTCCCGGGGAAGTGGTCGAGAGGTCAAGGGGCCCATGCCTCGAAACAATGGAGACGGCGGACGTTTGGGGATACATCTGCGATACGGCTCGACGTGGAGCCCGATTTTCTCCACGCCGGCGGCGACGATGCATCGGCAATGAGGCACGATCCTCTGACCACATCTGGTTGAACCCTTCAAGGCCTCCAAGCCTGCAGGCCTTCTGGTGCCGCCCACGGACGCGACTCTCTTTGTTGTCGCACGTCCCAACCCCCTCGCGTCGTGAAGAAGTCACGACGGGAGGCTTCTCGCCATTTTCGATCCCCGGGTGCCCTTGCCGGTCCTCGGGGCTGTGACAGAAACGGCTCGGGGTGAAAAGCCGGGGAGGGGTCTGCAGAGTTCTGGGGGCCCACGCCATGCGAAAATCATGCTGTCGGGTGCCTGGGGTGCCCAAGTTGTGACGGTCTGGTCGTGAATCTATCTGCGAATGAGTTGGAGTGTGAATGAGCCTCAGTAGTACGAGCGCGTCTCTGCGCATGAGCCTGGGGCCTCCTGAAACCGACTGGGGCCTCCAGGAGCCTCTTGGTGCCTCCTGGGGCCTCATAGGACCTCCCAGGGAGGATTCGTGCCCCAGGCGAGGCCCACTCTATAGGAACAGACGTACATAAAACATTGCGGATTGGAGCCACAGGAGAATGGCAATCTATAGGAATACACGTAAAACACCAAGGACTCGTGCCCCAGGAGAGGCCCAATATATAGGAACATGAGTGAAACATTTAGGATTGTGTACACAGGAGAAGGACACTATATATAGAAACATGGATATAACATCAAGGATTCGTGCTCCAGGTGAGGCCCAATCTATAGGAGCATACATAAAACACATGGGATTGGAACCACTCCTGTTGCCTTCTGAGGCCTCCTGCTCCTGGGGCCTCTCGAAGCCTCCTGGGGCCTCCTGCGGCTTCCTGAGGCCTCCTGGGGCTTCCTGTGGCTTTCTGAGGCCTCCTGGGACCTCATGTGGCATCCTGAGTTTTTCTGTGGCCTCATGATGCCTCCTTGGACCTCATGTGGCCTCCTGGGGCCTGTTGGAGCCTCCTGTGGCATCCTGAAGAGAATATGTGCCCACGAGTCTGGCCACCAAAACAAGCAAACCGATCGAGACATCCTCAAACATTGGCCCACCTGGGGGGTGACAATGAGCGCCTCGCTCGAGACATCCTCCAAATCTGCTCTCCAAGCGAAGGATGTTGAGACAGAAAACAGGCGAACCGCTTGAGACATCCCCACAAAACGGCCGCGAACGGGACCGTGCAATACCCCTCCGCGGCCCTAGTAGCACAATCCGCATGCGGGGACCGCACTCATTGTGACACACCCCTCGCACGGTTCGTGGCCCCACAAGGAGCTCCAACGAAGGCCCCAGTGGCACAGGCCGCACGCGGGGACCGCCACCCATTTTGGCACACCCCTCACACGGTTCGTGGGGCAACAGGGAGCTCCACCGAAGGCCCCAGCGGCACAGGCCGCATGTGGGGACCGCCACCCATTTTGGCACGCCCTTCACACGGTTCTTGGCCCCACAGGGAGCACCACCGAAGGCCCCAGTGGCACAGGCCGCATGCAAGGACCGACGCCTGGCGCACCCCTCACACGGTTCGTGGCCCCACTGGGAGCTCCACCGAAGGCCACAGTGACACAGGCCGCATGCGGGGACCGCCACCCCTTTTCGCACACCCCTCACACGGTTCGTGGCCCCACAGGGAACTTCACCGAAGGCCCCCGGTTCGTGGCCCCACAGGGATCTCCACCGAAGGCCCCAGCGGCACAGGCCGCACGCGGGGACCGCCACCCATTTTGGCACACCCCTCACACGGTTCGTGGGCCAACAGGGAGCTCCACCGAAGGCCTCAGCGGCACAGGCCGCATGTGGGGACGCCACCCATTTTGGCACGCCCTTCACACGGTTCTTGGCCCCACAGGGAGCACCACCGAAGGCCCCAGTGGCACAGGCCGCATGCAAGGACCGACGCCTGGCGCACCCCTCACACGGTTCGTGGCCCCACTGGGAGCTCCACCGAAGGCCACAGTGACACAGGCCGCATGCGGGGACCGCCACCCCTTTTCGCACACCCCTCACACGGTTCGTGGCCCCACAGGGAACTTCACCGAAGGCCCCAGGTTCGTGGCCCCACAGGGAGCTCCACCGAAGGCCCCAGCGACACAGGCCGCACGCGGGGACCGCCACCCATTTTGGCGCAGCCTTTACGCGGTTCGTGGCCCCACAGGGAGCTCCACCGAAAGCGGTACCCACAATGCGGTACTCGCAGTTGCATATGGTTGGGTCCTTCGTCAGGCTAATTGATGATCCCGCGGCCCAGTCAGGGCCCCCTGAAGCCGAAAATAGCAAAGTTTATTGACTCGAGGGGGTCTGGGGAGGGGGAACAGAGAAAGGGGGGATAATGGACGGAGGGGGTACGCAGGTCCATCGAGGCCGCGATGGGCGCGCACAAGGGCGACGCCATGATCCAGACGAAGGGGGTGAGGGCCCTGTCAAGCGGGATCCTGTGGCCGGAGGACGTTGCACCTCCTCCGCCGCCTCCTCCTTCTCCTCGCCCCTCGTCGTCGTCACCCCTCCCCTTCTTCCTCTCTCCCCCTCCCCCCTCCTCCCTCCTTCCTCCTCCTTCCCTCCTCTTCCTTGCTCTGTCCACCTTCTTCCCCCCCCCGTCCTCATCGCCTCCTCATTCGTCCGCATCCTCCTCATCCTCCTTCTCCCCTCCCTCTCCTCAGGCCTCCTCATGCTCTCAAAGTCGTGGCACGCTTCTCAACCGCAAGTGCTCCGTCGGAAGATCGCCAGTCTTGCAGCGTGTGTAGGTCCTCGGCGTCCACAGCGGTCGTGGGCACCTGGCTGACAAGTGTTTGCATGCAGGTGAAGTCCGCCGGCCGCACGAAGGTTTCCTCGAATCTCCCGTGGATGACGCCTGCATATCGTTGGAGGTGGGGCCCCCCAGAACCATCCTCTCATGCGTTCTGTCTGATCACCGCTCCCTTAGAATACGGTCATATGTGGCACATGCGGTGCGTTTCGCGGCCAAGCCTAGCTCAGGGTCTCTAGGGTGCCACTGCAGGAGCAACTTTCCAATTACTGTCATGATTACATCGACCCGATCTCTCGCGCTTATTTCCGAAGGCGCCAATCATGGTAATCCTCCTTTTTCACCCCTTGTTTCCTCCCTTTTCCCCCCTCATCATGCCCCCCTTCTGCTGCTCCACAAATGTTACCGTCATCGCCGTCGTCGTTGTCGCTCCTGGGTCCCTCCACCTCCTTTGCCTTCTTGCCCCTTCCTCCTCCTCCTCCTCCTCCTCTTCCTCCTCCTCCTCCTCCTCCTCCTCCTCCTCCTCCTCCTCCTCTTCCTCCTCCTACGTAGCCGGTTTGGCTCAAGCCTCGGGCCTCTGGGGGCCAAGAGGCGTAGCCTTGCGCCACTGGGAAGGCCCAGTGGTTTAGGGCTCGAGCTTCTCGGCCTGGCCCCGCCCAGGCTGCATTCGCTCACCACGTTTCTCTTGTACCTGTGTCTGGCCTCTCTTTTGTGGGCGTCCCCAAGTGATTGGAACAAGAGGGGATGGGTGGCCAATCCCGCAGGCATGTCGTGCCAAGAAGACTTGCAATGGTTGGTCGTCAGCTTCTGTTAACGCTCGTCATTGCATGCAGTTTGGCGGAAAGTGCAAGGACGCCGGCGGCGGCGGCAGCGGTGGCGCAGGAGACGGCGTTCATCGGGGACCCGTCTCTGACACAGCTGTGCCGCAGCAGCCTGGCAGGTGGCGGCGTTCCTCGCGAGGACCCAGTCGCCCCCCTGGCCTGCCAGGCCCGCGCCAGGTTCACTTCACGGACGAGGACACCCCTGCCCCAGAAGGTCCAGCGCAGGATGCAGCGCTCGACCCAGCTGCGTTGGCTCAGGCCCAGGTCACGTTCTGAAAGCGGTGGCCCCCCAATGGCGATGGACACCAGGATGCTCTCGCCAAGCTCAAGAGCGCGAAGGTCCAGGTGTTTGCCACGAAATCCCTGGAGCAGCAAGCACAGTCGCTCTGCGACCAGCTCAGTGTGCAGCGCCAGCGCCTTACCGACACGTCTCAAGAAGCACAGCAGCTGGCAGATCACATTGTTCAGTGCAGCGAGAAGCATGCCAAGCTGGTTGATGGCATCGGAAGCGTATCCAAAGAGGTCCAGCAGCTGGAGTCCCAACTCGCCGTGGCCAACACTGCAGCCATGCAGGAGAAGAGCAAGGACGCGAACCTGCTGGAGACGATTCAAGGCATGTTGGCAGCTCGCATGCCGAAAGGTGGGGTGGCCCCGCCAGAACTGCGTGCCAAGGTCGAAGAGCTCGCCACCATGTTCAAGAGCATGCAGTCGCAGCACCAGCAAGCAGCGGCAACGTGGGCACCTACGGCCACGGGCCAGCCACCGTCCGCGCGAGGTGCTAGCGGCGGTGGCGAGCAGGCGAAGGCAGACGACATCCTCCCGCCAGTGGGCACCAACCCAGAGGAAGAGGATCACGGTGGTGCAACAGCTGCGCAACCGGTGCCTGGGCTCGAGGACGATGCTGCAGTCTGGTTCGATCTGCGAAGGCACTGGAGCAGGTGGCCGAGGGCAAGATCGCAGTGGCCGAACCGACCTCCGCGAAGAAGTGTCGATCCGCGGCCGCCATCTTGCGCCAGAAGGTTGAGGCGGGCGGGTAACACTCAGTATACGATTGCCACGCTGAGCGGTTCCTGTTGGAGTGCAGTCGAGAGTTTTCTAGCTTCGCCAGAGGCCGAGCGGGTTTCATTAGTTTGTGCGCAAGAATGTAAGCTTCGTGACGGGGACGAGATCGCTCGTGAGATCCAGTGGTGTGAGCATCAAGGCTGGCACGCATCGATCACGCCCTGTCTTCTCGCCTCGGAAGGGTTGAATACGTTGGTGTGGCTGTTCTGGTTCGCGGTGATCTGGAACTCGGGGCCCAAAAGCTCAGTTTTCCAAGTGGCACCGTTTCGGCTCGTCTGCATGGGGCTGTGCTTGAACCCCCTGGGGCGCCCAAGTTTGGATTGTGCAGTGCGTGTTATGTCGCGTCGGAGGGCCTCTCGCAGGCTAAGTTAGAGCTCCTGTCACAGACTGGACAGGTGCAAGACGCGGCCAAACTCCCCCCGGCTGTGGCCGGCGACTTTAACATGAGCCCTTCTTGCGTGCAAAAGTCCGATTTGCTAGCTCGCGCCACCGTGGACGTGCCGGTGCCCGAGCAGGCCGCCCACCGTGCCAAGAAGTCCAAGACTACAGTCGATCACTTTCTAGCCAGCAAAGGGACATCGCCTTGGCTGTCGCAGCCCCGCGCCCTTGCGTCGCACCCCCCCCCCCCCCCGCATAGGCCCGCGCTTCTGGACCTCGCGGTCCGCGATGGCGACTATGCCCCCCGCGCTCCTCAGGCCCCAAAAGCTCCCCACCAAAGTCCCAGTGGGTCCGGAGCTTCCTGAAGTGAGTTGGCATCAGACTGAAGCCGTAGTGGCCCACGCTATGAAATTTATAGACGATGCGAATCCGCCTCTCAACGATAGTCAGTCGCAGAGTGTATTGGATACTGTGTATTTCACGTTGTCACAGGACCTGGAGAGAACAATCAGCGTCGCCACCGACACCCCCCCCCAAACCAAGTCCTTGCCCAGGGCCCACCCCCCCGTCATTCGCTGGCTTCCGGTTGAGAAGAAGTGCGCCTCCATCAGGCGCCAGTGGACATCGTGCGCGAGCCCGCTGAGATGGCTCATTCACCATGTTCAAGACTTTCGGAGAAGCAGTCAGGCCCGGGATCTCCGGGAGTTCCGCGACACCCAGGATGCCTTAGAGGACAGCCCAGAGTTGTTCCACCCCGTCGACGGCCTCAGGGAGGGGCTGCAGGACATTCGCGTCGCGGTAGGCCTGTTCCACGAAGACTTCGCGGCTGGAACCCTCCAGTCGGAGCTCGCGTTGCACATTATTGATGAATTGCTAGAGCAGATCACGAAGGCCCTCCACGCGGAGGGGCCCAGGACACCGCCAAGGATGGGAAGGAATGGAGGGAGTGGGTCAAACGTTCCATGTCAGGAGGAATGAGACGGGCTCACCGTTGGACTAAACGACTGGATGGCTGGAGGCCCATGTCGGTTACCATAGCCAGTGGCGATGCTAGCGGTCGACCACAGCATGTTCTTCGAGTAGAAGTTGACGGGATCAGTCAGATATGGCGCGCGTCTCGGACCCCAGGCCCCATCATTGTTTCCCCTGTCGACGACCGCGTGGCCCTTGGCCCGATCCATGCCAAAAGGCTTCGGCTGGTTTCGAACAGTTTTCCGCATTCCACGGCTTCGACCTGGGACGGCTTCCATCCGAGACACTTCGCCTGTCTCATCGATATACAGGCGGAACTCGTACGTCGTCTCGTAATCCGGGCTGAGATGTCGGGGGCGATGCCGACCGCCTTGCAAGGGGCCATTTTAACCTGCATGGTCACACTTCAACAACAGGACAGCCTACATTCAAATCCGTCGTTCCGCTCCATCGGCATGCTTCCCTCCCTCTATCGCGTTTTGGCTCGGCTGCGGAAGTCGGCTGCCAGAGAGTGGGAGTTTCACCACCGCAGACCCTACTTGCGCACCAGGCTTTGCGCTGCATCGTGGACTTCGTATATCGACCGTCTCTGTGAGAGTATCATTCGCTCGCCAACCATGCCCAATGCCCTGGACAAGTGTTATGGGATCTATCTAAGTATGACGAGCGACCATATAGACAAGCAGCGCCTGGCTCATAGAGCTCATGAGTCAGGATTTCCCAGTTGTACATATGTGTATTATCATGTCACACTGCGCAAGTGCCCCATCCGTTGCGTTGCAAGATTGCACAGTGTCCGTCGGCTACCCGGCCAGAGGCATAGCCGCGGGTTGCAGTTGGGCAACCGCTTTAATCCAAATGTATGTGATCGCCCCATTGGACCGCTGGACGGATCTGTTCAGTTCCGCGATGCTGGCCACGTTCATCGATGAGATCTTGCTGCAGTTCCACGGCCCCAGCATCAGCTTTGTAGTCGCGCAGCTCAACGCGGCTGCGCGCGCGCTCGCTGCAGGGTTCAAAGGCCAGATTGCCAGCCAGAAGAGTCAGGCCCTCGCTTCCCATCAGAAACAGGACCGTCTCAGGCTCGCCCTGGGGGGCCTCGCGGGTCCGTCGACCGACGTCTCGGCCCCCAACCTCGGGATTGAACGTGGAGCTGGTCGGCGCCCAAGGCGATGGAGGGCCCGGGGGGGCTCGGAGGGCGGATCCATAAGATGCGCAAGCGGCTGGGCCGCATTGGGGTGCTCGAGCACGCTGGAGGGAACACCAGGAAATTCCATCAGACAGGTTTGGCCGCCGCCACAACGTTCGGGATTGAAGCCGCTGGCATTGATGACACCACGCTTGAACAGGCTAGGACCCAGTACCTTGCCACTGCTGGGCCGCGACGTCCTTCGCGCAGCAGGTCGCTCTCGCCCCTTCTCCTCCAGGACCCTCTTTGGAAACCTGGCCCGGGGCCGGCTACACTTTGGTGCGAGTTGGTTTGGCTGGCCACCACCCACCCCCACCCCTGGCTCAACATCCAGTCCCTCAAGCAATGACAGTTTGGTTCACCAGAATATCAAGTCGCGGGGTCTGGTTCGAGGGCCCATGGAGGCCGCCATCCTTTCCTTGAAACGTATTGGTTGGAGCTTCCAAGGCCCATTTATGTTTGTGACCTCCGAAAGAATTGTACACTCCCTCCATGGACACTCCCCAGCCTTCCTCCAGTCGCTTACGCACGTCGCCCGGGACGGGCAGCTCGCGACCAAGGCGGGGAGCAAGCTCGGACATCCGCAAGGCCAGCTCGATGCATCTGCTGCGCGGCGAATTCCCCACAGCCCACAGCTGACTGAGAGTCAGAAGAGATCCTTACTTGCATACCTAGCGCAGAGTGCGTGGACCATGGAGAGAGCTGCCGCCGCTGGTTATGATGTGCCTCTTGAATGTGTCTGTGGCCACCATGCGGATTATCCTGGGCATCGGTTGCTTAGCTGCCCACAAACGGCTAACCATCGTGATTCGCACATCTCTGAGGAAGAAATGGACAGGTTGCGCCACGCTGATATCACCTGCCTTCCTTGCCTGTTCGGTTTCCAGATGGCCCCTGATTTCTGACCGTGAGGCCCCCACAGGCTCGGGGCATGAGCAGGGAACCCACTGGCGCTTGAACCCTGAGAGCTCGACCGAGGAAGCGTTCAGCCAAGGGGGGATTGTCGTAGACGGCACTTGCACGGATAGGGGCCACTATAACTTTAACTCGGCAGTCTTCGCCATGATATGTATGAGGCACGAACAAGTGCACGCTCATTTCAGTGGAAGGGCTGGCGCCATGTATTCCCAAACTTCAGGAGCCGCGGAGCAGCTCGCAGCCCTCTTCGCGGGTCGAATGTCCACGGATCTCCTTGTAGTTTAAAATGATTATGAAGCGGTAATTAAGCTGCACGGCGGCAAAGAGTACCCTAGAACCAACGAGTGGGCGGGGTTCAAAGTCCCGGCGGGAAGCGGTCTGTATAACTTGGGGCACTTGCTTCGCAATGTTAAAGCCCGCCAGGATACCCTCGCCCTTCCTGCCGGCAGCACCGATAGATTATTAGCCGAAGGCAACGATGGCGCCGACCGTCTCGCGAAGGACGCCGCCCACCGTAGATGCCAGCCCAGCCACTCGGAAGTGGGCGCGTACATGGCTGAACAGGCCCTCTTCCAGAAATTCCTCTCGCACGTGCCGTTGGGCCTGGCCGAGTTCCCCGCCGTCGCTCCGCGGCGTAAGAAACAGATGTCTGCAACGGAAAGCCTGTCGCCCCCGTCGGGAGCAGCTGCCGCCCAGTCTGCGCGGGACCCCGCCGCCACTGCAAGGTCGGACCCTGCGGAGGACCCCCCCACCCTGCTCCCTCTGAGCCCTCCTCCTTACCGGGCGGGTTCCACATTTTTGTTTAACGAGCAGGCAGATGGGTTTGCACAATTTGTCGTTGCTCGGTCAGAACACGCCACCAGTTGCGGGCTATGCAGCAGAAGGTGCGCCCCTGGCCACTGCAAGCAGCTCTCGGACTTAGTCGCAGACCCCAAAGGCCTCGACATTCATTGCTATGAGCATCTCGACCAGCCAACTGTTCTATTGGTTTGTCATAAGTGTGGATCGTTTGCCGAATTTTGAGGTCGAGGGCCGTCTGCCCAGCGTGATCAGGTCGTCTCCAGTGACGGTCGAGCCCCCAGCTTGCCCGCGCCATCGAAGGTAGACGCCCCCGCAGCACCAAGAAGGAACCTATAGTCCTCCGTGCGCCTGCAACTCCCCTCCAATAGCTGCTCAAAGAAGAAGCTGCCAAAGTTGGAGAGAGCGATGATTCAGCCTCTACCATTCACTAATGGAGAGGATGGCCCCCTTCGAGGGCCGCGGATCAGCAGTCCGTCCTCTTGCTGTCTCAATGCTTCAGCTGTGAACGAACTCAGTCCGTAGCCATGAGTCGGTCCTCCTCCTCCTCCTCATACTGCTCCTCCGTAGCCATTGTGGCACAAGGCGGTTTTCTCGTGTCAGCGTGATTCAAATCACTTTCGTTGTGTTTCTTGCTGTTCCTAACTCTGACTGCTGCGTTTGAGTGTGCATGCTGCAGTTGCTGTAAGTATGCTGCATGCGGGCAAATGGCTTGATTGGCAAGTCGCGCATTGCGCTTGATTTCCACGGCGGCGGGGCAGCACGATTCTGTTCTCAACCAGGCCGTGCACTCAGACCGACTTTTTTTTCACGGCGTTGCGTAGTCGACCTCAGCATGTCGACATTACGCATAACGCATCAAGTTCTGTGGCGTAGCACCGAATTGTGGGAATCGCAATTTATCGCTGAGTTGGAAGCGATACTCGAGGGTTCTCTTCTTGCGCTTGATGGGGCAGTACCTGTTGTGACCCGCGGCACGATCAGCTAATGACATCGCGGTCTGTCTGGCGCAAAGAGGCCACTGCGCGCCTGCGCCAGGCGTCGGTGACTGGAATCTCTGGCCTTTTCATCGTTGACAATGTGATCCGCCCCTGGCATTCTGTCGCTGGCGCAATCCACGCACGATCATCATTTGGTATCCTGTTAGTAAGCAGTGGAGTGTAGAAACAAGGGGGCCGGCCCCATGACCAATGGCAGCATGGGCAGAGAGCTTATCATCAGCTTGATGGGCGGCCAGATCAGCTATGACCACACAACGGTCAAGTTCAGTGACGACACGCTGCAGAAGGCCGCCCCGAGCTCACAACATAGTCCACTTACGCAGAAATCGGAGGTTGGGTGGTGAGATCGAAGTGGAACGGAGAGCTCCCCACCGGGAAATCGGTTTCGGTTTCGTGCTCGTGCGTGCCGTGCGCGCGGACGAGGCGAAGCTGCGCGGGCGGGGGAGAGGAAGTTCTCTTGTGGCTGGGCCGCGGCTGGACCAAAAGGTTCTCCGCCCGGCAACCGGTGTCGCGCGGTGCCCCGCTGGTGCCCCGCTGGTGTCCCGCCCGTGTCCCGTCGTGGCTGGGCCGCGGCCGGACCAAGAGGTTCTCCGCCCGGCAGCCGGTGGCGCGCGGTGTCCCGCCGGTGTCCCGCCGGTGTCCCGCTGGTGTCCCGTCGTTGTCCCGTGGCGCCCCGTGGTGAGATCGACAGTGAGATCGATCGTGAGATCGATCGTGAGATCGATGATAAGAGCGACAGTGCGATTTACGGTGAGAGACCGGTAGTGAGATCTATAGTGAGATCGATCATGATATCGATAATGAGATCGTCAGTGAGATCGACCGCGAGATCGATCCAGTGGGATCGATCGCGAACTTGATAGTGTAATTGATAGCGAGATGAATACTGAGATCGAAAGCGAGATCGATAGTGATATCGATAGCGAGATCGATAGTGGGATCTATAGTGGGATGGATAGTGAGATCGACAGTGAGATCGATTTTGCCCCGTCGGTGTCCCATCGGTGCCCCGTCGGTGTCCCGTGGTTTTACGCGCTGAGATCGATAGTGATATCGGTGATGATACCGATAGTTGGATCGATGTGACCGATAGCGACATCGCTCGTGAGATCGACCGAGAGATAGTAGTTCTTTGATCGGGCATCCTGAGTATTGCGAGAGGGTCTCCGCCATTTAGCATATGTTTCGATGCTTCTCTTGCTCGAGTCTCTCGATGGATTTGGTCCAGATCGGAGGCGTGCTCCGAAAGCTGTCCCATCTCTCACTCCACCTCAGCTCCGCCTTGCAATATTGCCCCACCCTGCCCTTCGCTTCGCTGACCTGACGCGGCCTGCGGCTCGTTGACTTGCTCCGCGGGCGTCCCCGTGGGGCCCGTGGACTGCCCCGCGGCGGAGTGCCGCCGGTGGGCGCCGGCGTTGTGCTGCTGCGCGGCGGGGCTCGCCGTCGGGCTGCTGGCGGACCACGCGCGGTGGCCCCTGCTGCAGCGGGCCGCGCAGGAGCGCGCGACCTCGCAGGAGGGGCTGCTCGCCGCGGAGCTGGGCGCGGACGGCGCCCTGGCGAGCTCGCTCAGCGCAGAGCGCCTCGCTGCGCAGGGGCGGGGGCGCAATGCTGGGGCGGGGCGCGCTGGAGGGTCTCTCTGAAGGGGCTCGCTTGCTGGTGCTCTATCACGGTGATGACTGCTACCGCGAGGGGCTGCCATGCATTCCCTTGCGGCGGTCGCAATGGCACTGGGCGGCGGCACCCCCCGACTTTGAGGTGTGCGACGATGTCTACACGGACGGCGAGGTCTTCCGCAAGGTGGCGGTGCTGCCAGCCGCCCGAACGCTGCCTAGGGGCGCGCGGGAGGATGACGCGTGCATCTTCTATACGACGGCAGGACGCGGACGGACGACATCGCGCCCTCGCTGGTGCGTCGGCCGATGGCGCAGGCGGACGCGCACCGCAGCGCGCTCGAGACTCCCGCGGGTGTCTTGGCCGCAGCTGGAGCGGGCGCGGCGGCGGCCGGGGCGGCTGCTGCGAGGAGGCTGCGCGACAGGCAGCCACCGCGATCTCTCGCAGCGCTGGCCGACGACGATCACGCCGTGAGCGAAGTCGGTGGCGCGGCGACCCCGCGCGGCCCGGTGGCCCCCTCGCCGGCGACGGACCAGAGGGGCTCGCTGCGCCGCCACTGCCGCCGCCAGAGCGCACGGGAGCTTGGCTGGTGGCCGACCCCACCCAGGGCTTCGCCATCGGCGCCGAGACGCCGGACCCTGTGGTGAAGGCGGGCACGAAGGGGATCGCCTACGCGCAGGGGCTGCACGTGCCCGTGGAGTGGGTCGAGCCTGACGCGCTCGACGACTACGCGGCCCCCCGCAGCGGGCAGCTCCGCCGAGCCCTCGGGGCCGCCGCCTCGCCCTCGCCCGAGGTCGCAGCTGGCAGCGCGGCAGACGCCATCGCGAAGGCAAAGGCCATGGTCGGCAGGGCGCAGCGGGCGCTGAGGTCAAGGCCGACAACGACACGTGGCTGAAGGAGCAGCTGACTAAGCTCGACAGCCCCGAGCTCGAGGGCCTGGTGAAGGAGGTCTTCTCGGAGAACGGGGCTCTGAAGGTGAAGCTCAGCGACGTGATGACGCGTCTCGCGAGGCCTGGGGGGGGGCCACCGACGGGTCTCGACGGCCCAGCGAGGAGGGCGCCAGGATGCTGGCCATCGCGCGCGCGCCGTTCGGGATCAGGCCCGGGACTTCAGAGCCTCGGTCGAGGCGGTGCAGGAAAGCTCCTGGGAGGACTGGCCGTTCAACGGGCCCGGGACCGTCCTCTTCGCGCTCTCGTTCGTCGCGGAGCACTTCCAGGACCCCAAGCAGAGGCATGCGCGCTTCCGGGCGGATGGGCGCCTCCAGCCTTCGGACGTGGGCGTGGGCGAGCACGCAGTGGTGATGAAGATGCTGTACTTCGGCGCGGTCTACGACCAGCTGGCCCTGCCGCAGCTCGCCTCGGCCGAGCTGGCCTGCAGGCGCGCGCACCTGATCGAGCTCAAGCACAAGGGCAAGTTCGGCCCGAAGAGGCAACAGGACGGCAAGAAGGTCGTCAGCGACCCCTATGACGACGCTCACCTCTACCTCGGCTTGTCGGCGACGCGCGGGACGCTGCGCGCCTCGCCGGAGCTGGAGGCCTGGGTAGGCCGTGAGCTTTCGAACGAGTGCCAGGTCATGAAGGAGAGACGCAAAGCCCTTGAGGAGCGGAAGGCTCTCCAGGGCGAGAAGGACTAGCACCTCGGGAGCGGCGGCAAGACCTGGCCACCTTGCCGCCCCAGCTTGGCCACCCCTCCGCCTTCTTCGCGATGAGCGGCGGGGCTACAGGCGGGCCGCCGCGGGAGCTCCTCCTGTGCCCGTCGCCTTTTTCTTTTCCGATGGGGGCCTGCTGATGCCCCTGGATGCCGCGCGGTCAGGAGACGGGCGGCAGCTCGGCAGCACTGGCAGGCCTGGTGCAATCGAGGCGCCCTTGCACTCAATGATTTTTTTGGTCACCCTGCCCCTGCTGGCGACAGCGTCGCGACGCCCCTCTCGGCCGGCCAGCTGTCTTGCCTCGGGGAGCTGAGGGGCGCCTATCGGGCCGTCGGCCCGCCGCCTGCTGGGCATGGCGACGCCGCGGGAGCCTTCCAGGAGCTCTGCGGCGCCCGCGCTGGCTATGCCTTCGAGGCCGATGCTGCGGGCCTACAATCTCCGTGCCGCGCGGGCGCAGTCTCGCTGCCTCCGGTCTCTTCTAAGCCCGTGGAGCTCTCCAAGGTGCTCGACGGCCGGGAGCTCAAGATGTGGGCGGAGTGGAGATCTCGTCTCCTTCGCGAGGAAGGCAGCGGACCCTCCGCTGATGACAGTTGCGGCGTCTCCGCCGTCTACTCGGATCCAGCGCTTGTGGAGCGCCCCGCCGCGCGCGGCAAGTTCCTCGGCGACGTGCGTTCGAGGGGCGTCGTGGGCTTCTCGAGCGCTCGCCCTGCAACTGTGGGGATTTTCTTCGTGAGTAAAAAGGATTGCTCTCTTCGAATGATCTTTGACACGCGGGCCGCTAATGAGCTTTTGCGTCCTCCAGTCAAGACTGTGCTTCCCGCGAGTGGCTCGTGGGGCCGAGTTGAGGTCGAGGCCGATGAGCCCCTTCAGATTGCCCAGCGCGATGCGCAGGCCGCTTTCTATCGCATTGCCCTCGACCCAGGGCTGAGAGAGCTTTTTGTTCTACCCTAGGCGAAGACCCCCTGCATACCCGGCCTTTCGGGGGGGGGCGCGACCGTCTGGGCCCCTTCTGCTCTCCTCACCTCCTTGTCCTCCCAATGGGGTGGTCTTGAGGGCCTTGTTGTTTCTTTATCAAGCTGCTGTGTCCGTCGGAATGAAGCGCATTGGCCTGCATTGCGTTGATGGGGTCTCCGACAGGGGGGCCCTTATGTGTCTGACAATTCTTCCGTCAAGTATGCTGTGTATGTAGATAACTTTGCCGTTATTCCCTCTGACGTTTCTGAGGCCACCTCTCGCATCTCGGATGCCCCCGTGGTGCTCGAAGGCATGGGTCTCGGGTGCCATGAGGTCTCCGAGGGTCAGCCGCGCGCCGTGTTTACCGGACTGTTCTTCGACGGGGAGAGGTGGGTGATTCGAATCAACTCCAAGAGGGTGAGGAAGTTGCGTCTTGCTTTGGATTTCGATTTGGGAACTGGGAAGGCCAGCGGAAACGAGATCGGGAAGTTGATTGGGCACTTCACTTGGGCTAGTCTTCTCCGTCGGGAGGCGCTGTCTATTGTGGGAGCTTGCTACTGCTTTGCCGAGCGCCACGCCAAAAACGCCGCTCTCTGGCCTGCAGTCGCACGAGTGCTTCGTTGGATGCGTGATCTCTTACCGCTACTCTCACACGGTACACGTGCCCTGGAGTAGTCTCGTGCACGTCAGCGACGCGTCGACGGACGGCTTCGGGGTTCGTTGTTCTCAGCGGGGTCGTGGCGACGCCTCCCTGGCGGGAAGGCGCGGTGAGAGGTGGGGGGCTCGGGCGGGGGAGGCCGCGAGCGCACGCGAGCACGCATTTCGCCTTGATATCATCGGACTCGATCTCGACGATCGTCGGTCTCGCCCCGCTGTTCGGCTTGCGACGGACGCTCAACTCTGGAAGGACGGCACCTACTACGGACCCGAGCTCACCGCCGAACGCGCGCCCTCTTCCTGTGGACAATTTGGCCCTAGCCCTGGCGGTCGCCAAGGGGCGGGCGAGGTCTCGCCATCTCCTGCCCACCTGCAGGGAGCTCGCCGCGCTCGGTCTCTTCGCCGGCGGTCGCTTCCATGTCCGCTGGGTGCCGAGCGAACTGAACCCTGCTGATGCTCCGTCGCGGGGGCGACCGGCGCCGAGTCGCGTTGACTTCAACAGGCTCGCCGACGCCTACCGACAGATGCAAGAACGGAAGGCTGACCAGAGAGCGGCCTGCCAGCAGCTCCGCGACGAGATCGAGCTCGCTCCGCTGCACAACTGCGACCTCGGCGACGACGGGGACTCTGGCGGTGACTGCAGCTCCGCCGCTGACTCCAAGAGCCCGGCATCCCTCGGCGCAGAGAGCAGCAGGGGCTTCGAGGGCATCGAAGAGCTCGCAGAGCCCCTCCTGCCTCCGGGTCTGCCCTGCCTCGGCGATGCGAGCCTGCAAGCGTGCGGAGATGGCGTCCGAGCTCTACGCTGCGGCAGAGCCCATCGCCCGAGCTCTGCAGAGGAGTGCCCTGGAGCTGTCGTCGACGAAGGCGGCCACCATGCTGGACTGCCTCCGCCGCCTGGGCTGGTTAAAGCAGCACGTGACTCAGGAAGGCCTCCTGGGTTCGGATCCCCACCCCCTGGACGACGTCATCACCCAGTGGTTCGACGTCCTCTATCAGAGCGGGCACCCCGCCAACGACGGGCCCAAGTTCTCGGCCTCCCTGCAGCACCTGTGGCCCGAGCTGAAGGCCCAGCGGCAGCTGCCCAGGGCCTGGCGCGCGATCACCGGATGGCGCAAGCTCATGCCCGTCCACAGCCGCGCGCCGCTGCCATACCGCGGGCTGGTGGCGCTGATCGGCGGGCTGCTGTGGCTAGGACACCACGAGGAGGCCGGCGAGGTGCTGATAGCCTTCATGGCTTACCTCCGCCCAGGCGAGCTGTTCGCGCTGTCGCCCGAGTCGCTGGCGCCGCCGGTCAGAGGGACGGGAGGTTCGCCGTTCTGGGGCCTCATCCTCGGCGCGCGCGAGCTCGGCCGCGCCAACAAGACAGGCGAGTACGACGAGGGCGCGATGCTGGACTGGGCCAAGTCCGATTAGCTCAAAGGCATCCTGCAGCTGCTGAAGGCTCGGCGCGCCGCGGGCCCCCTCTGGTCTTTCGACGCGGTGCACCTCGCCTCAGTGATGCACAGTGCGGCTCTGGTCAGCGGCGTCCACGCGTTGCACCCGCAGCTCTACTCCCTGTGCCATGGGGGGGGGGTCCTTCGATGCGATCTCGCAGAGAAGGACGCTCCCTGAGATCAAGAAACGAGGGCGCTGGAGGACGGACGGATCGGTCTGGCGCTACGAGAAGGCGGCGCTTGCCTTGCGGGAGGCGACCAAGCTCTCTCATGCCGCCATCTCGTTCGCGCGGACGGCGGAGGAGGGCCTTGCGAGCTTCGCGCGGGGCCTTCGCCACCCGGCGTTGCCGCCGCTGGCCGCGCCATTTGCCTTGCAGCCGCCGCGCAGAAGCTGCGCGCGAAGGCGGAGGTGCTGCGCGCGCGCCGCGAGGCGCGAAGCGGTGGTGCCTACCTGGAGCTCTTCGCTGACGCCAAGTGGATCGCCTCCAGACTCCGCAACCTGGGCGCCGCCGTCGTGACGCTGGAGATCGCAGACTGCCCCTTGCAGGACGCGACCTTGTCCAGCGTGCGGGAGCTGCTTGTCACCTGGATCCGCCAGGGACTAGTAGACGGCGCGTGGCTCGGAACGCCCTGCTCGTCGTGGAGCGCTGCGCGGCGCGGCCAGCCAGGCCGCCCAGGCGGGCCGCTGCGCGTGGCCGAGTGCATCTGGGGACACCCCGACCCGCTGGCTCGTCCAGCCGACCGCGCCCGCATCCAGATCGGCAATGCGACAGCGCGGTTCTCTTTGGCCATCATTTCAGCATGCAGAGCAAGTCAGGTCGGCGTCATCTGGGAGACCCCTTGGGCCCCCCCTTGGGCCGCGGAACCCTTTACTTTCGTCGTGGTTCGTGGCTCGTCGCGGTTCGTCCCCCTCGCCCCCCCCCTGAGCCTGAGCCCCACCTCCCCTGAGCCACCACTCTTGGGGGCCTTCCTCCGTCCGGCCTTCCTCCGTCCAGGCCTTCCTCCGTCCAGGCTTCCCAGTCCTTTGCAACTCCTCTGTGCAAGAGCCAGGGCACGCGTGCCACTTGTTTCCAAACGCCGCATTGGCCCACTCGGGGGGGGGGGATGCGCGCTCAAACGCACGGGGGGGCAGCCACGTGCGAGATTGACGAGTAGAGCACTCAAGTGAGCGGACTTGCTCGGACGATGTCCGGGCAGTTCGCGGTTGCTTTGGCAGTGCTCCTTAGTAGTCTCGCATTTTTTGACGCGGGGATAGATTAGCTTGCTTCGGCTATTCCACCTCTCCCGCGGCAGTACCTGCATCCCTTCGACTGGCGCCGTGACATGTGTGTACGATCTGCGCGGTGGGGGGAGGGCAATATGCTCTTGGGACGGGGCAAAGGCCGCCAACCCACGTACCTGTTGAACTCAGGTCAACCTGGCCCCGTGCGGCCAGGTAACTTGTTATGAGAAGTGCGGTCAGTAGAGTCATTCCTGCTGTTGTCTGTTTGACTGTACAAAGCACGACAGACTCGCTTGAGCACCATATTCGAGCGGTAGGTCCTCCTGCTTCGCGTGTTTCTTACCCTGCCTTTGCCGCTGCCGCATTGGATCTCGAGGACCATTTGCCGCGCCCACTCTACACGCTATACATCGCTCTCCTTTTGCCCTTTGCGGAGAACAGCCGCTCACACTCCACGTCCTTATTTCTAGTCTCTTCCTCTTCCTCCTCCTTTCCTACCTCCTCTTGCTCTATCTCCTTCTCTACCTCCTCCTCCTCCTCTTCCTCCTCCTCCTTCTCCTCCTCCTCCTCCCACTGTGTCCTCTCCCTCCTTTTCCTGCTACTCTGGGGCGCAGCTTTGGGGAGAGGGGACAGGGAAGGGCGAGGGACGAGAAAGACAAAGAAGCGGAGGAGGGTGGGAGCAGGAGTTTGAGGGGCGAGGGGCGGGATCGTGGGAGAAGAGGAGGAGGAAGAAAAGTAAAGAAGTTTGACGATTGCGACGACGATTGCAGAGACGGCGGCCACGACGACGGCGACGACGACGACGACGCCGCCAATGACGACAACGACGACGACGACGACGACGACGACGACGACGACGACGACGACGACGACGACGACGACGACGACGACGGCGGCGGCGGCGGCGGCGGCGGCGGCGGCGGCGGCAGCGGACCTTCCTGGCGCACCGCAGGACATCCAGAAGAAGTCTGGCTACGATACGAGGACCTCGGTCACGCGGCCCCCCTGCGAGGGAGGGAACCCCGCTTCGGCGGGGGCCCCGGCTGAGAGGAGGAGCCGAAGAGCAGAACATTGGATAACACACTAAAATCCGAGCGGATTTCTTGGATCGGCGTGGGAGCTCCCTGGCGGCGCCTCCAGCGCCGCCCCGGGCGCGCTCCGCGCCAGGGAGCGGGGTCCAGCGCCGATCCAAGAAATCCGCGCGGACCTCCGAGAAATTATGTTTATGAAATGCGTTGTTCTTCTGAGGCCCGAAGGAGGTCAGGGGAAGCGCCAGGGGGGGATAGGGTCAGAGGGGACTCATCGACCCCCAGTCGCCCATTGACCGCCGACATGGGCCCGATATACCACACCGCCAAGGAACGTGCGGTTTCGCCAGCAGGGGACCACCGCCGATCGATCGGCGGTGCATCGCCGAGTCTGGGTCGAAGCTTCCCCCCCTAGAGCAGGTCCCCCCTCACGTTGCACCTGCAGGATGAGGTTCGAGAATCGAGTTTTTTGAGGTCTCGAGGTCGTTCGAGGATCTAGTTTCGAGGTGGAGGTTCCCAGTTGTTTCATTTTTTCGAGGTTCGAGGTTGTTCGAGGATCGAGGTTCGAGGATCGAGGCTCGAGGAGGTTCGAGGATTGAGGTTCGATGCGGTTCGAGGATCGAGTTCTTCGAGGTTGTCCGACGCCGCCCGCACTTCCTCGGCCTCCTGGAGGCTTCTCGTCGACGCTCTTGCTCGGCTGGGGGGCCGAGCTTCGAAGGGACGCGGGGGGGGCCGGGGGGGAGGGCAAGAGGAGGTGGGAGGAGGGAGGACAGAGGGCAGGAGGAGGAGGCAACGAAGGGAACGGAGGGAGGAGAGAAGAGAGGGAAGGGATGGACGGGAGGGAATGAGGGGAAGGAGGGGAAGGGAGGGGAAGGGAGGGAAGGAGGGGAAGGGAGGAGGGAGGGGGGAAGGGAGCAGGGAGGAGGGAGGAGGGAAAAGGGAAGAGGGAAGGGAGGAGATAGGAGGGATGAGGGAGAAAGGAGAAGGGAGGAGGAGGAGAGAAGAGAGGTAAGAGAGCAGGAGGAGAGAGGAGGACGAGGGAGGGGAGGAGGAAGGAGGGAGGAGAGGAGGAGGAGGGGAAGGGAGGAGAGAGGGACGAGGAAAGGGAGGAGAGCGGCGGGAGGAGGAAGGAGGGAGGGGGGAGGAGGGAGGGGGGAGGAGGAAAGGGAAGAGAGAGGGAGGAGGGAAGGGAGAGAAGAGAGAGAGAAGAGGAGAGAGGAGGGAGGACAGAGGAGCGAGGCGGGAGGAGGGAGGAGGGGAGGGAGGAGGGAGAGGAGGAGGAGGAGGAGGACGAGGAGGAGGAGGAGGAGGAGGGGCAGAAATCAACACGGGCGCTTTGTTGGATCCGTCTCGGGATCTTGGTCGAAGCGTGCCCCAGAGTAACTCCGGAAGCGAAGAGAGCTGCCAGGACGGCGGATCACCAGCTGTGCCTGATGGTTTTCTGACCGTTCGTGTCGCTGGCAAACGTCGTCGCCGTCGCTGCCGCCGCCCTCTTCGGTCGCCCGTCACTGTTGCCTGCAGTTCACGATCATCCTCGGTCGTCGTCCTCCGTGATCGTCGTTTGCCGTCGTCTTCGTTGTCCTCGTCGTCCGGTGGCGTCGGCGGTCGTCGTCCTCCGTCGGCGTCGTCGTCTTGCCGTCTTCGCCATCGGGCCTGGGCGCAGTCTTCGCCCTCGTCGTCTGCGTCGTTGAAGTCGTGGGTCGTCGCCTTCGTCGTCGCCCCTGTGGGGGGGCGCGCAGGAGGAGCATGGAGCTCACCCAGGCGGCGTGCGAAGGCCACAAGGAGCCACTTGCCGGCCCCGGCCCCCTCTGCGCCGCGCAGGCCCAGTTGGAGGCTCGAGGTTCCCTGACGTCTCCGTAGGCTCTCGGAGGCTCTTCCGGCCGCTGCCGTCCAGCAGCTGCGCCTCGCCGGGAGTGTTCCGAGGGTTGCCGCATCGTCCCGAGGGGCCGCAGAGGCCAAGGGTTACGGCCCGATCCCCGCGTCGCGGAGTCATTGCGGATGGGTTGTTGCCGCTGCCGGCATTCGGGGAACTTTACCGGGCCCTACAGGGCCGTCAAACTGGAATCGGAAGGAGAAGCGTGTCCCTGGCGAGGATTCCACTTCTGGGGAGCCACGGTTTTGAGATCACGACGTGAGATGTTTGTGGAGCTGACTTACGACGAGAAGGGAGAGGAGGACAGGAGGAGGAAGGAGGAGGAGGAGGAGGAGGAGGACAGGGGGGAGGAGGAGGAGGACAGGGGGAGGAGGAGGAGGAGGAGGAGGAGGAGGAGGAGGAGGAGGAGGAGGGAGGAGGAGGAAGGAGCAGGAGGAGGAGGGAGGAGGAGGAGGAGGAGGAGGAGAGGAGGAGGAGGAGGAGGAGAGAGGGAGGGGAGGAGGAGGAGGAGGAGGAGGAGGAGGAGGAGGAGGAGGAGGAGGAGGAGGAGGAGGAGCGATGGTCGATGGGTCGATGGGCGGGGGAGTCGGGAGGAGGAGGGAAGGAGCAGTGACAGGGGAGCACAGTGGAGCAAGCGGGGGCGAAGTCCTCCCTTCCCCAGCTCCTCCCAGGGGCGCTCCGCGAATGCGGAGCGGCCAGACTGGAGGGAGGCGCGGGCTGGCATCGAGCGAGGATGCGACCAGACGTAAGAGTGACCCAGAGTGACCTTTTATGCGGGCACATTGGGGTCCCCCGAGCGCCGAACGCGATGCGATGGTAGCGTCTTGCGCGCCTGCGTGTTGGTCACCCCGCGGCCCCCAGGAAAACCGCGCGCCAAAGGTCACTCTTACCATGGGCCACTCTTTGCGTGCAGCCGAGGCCTGCACACAGCAGCAGCTTACGAGAGGTCCGCGCGGGTTTCTGTGTCATCGGCGCTGGGACCCCCTCCCCGAACCCCTGGACGGCGCCTGCGTCGCGGCCTCCCGTGCACCCCGCGCGCTGGCGCCGGGTTGGCAGAGGTGCCCACACCGTTGCCTTTCCCTCGTGTTCCTTTGTTTGGGGGGGCCTCGTCGCCACCGTTGGGTTCGCCACGACATGCTGGTCAGAACGGGCCCCGGGAGTGCTCCGGGGAGCAGCGGCATCGGTACTTCTTGGCTCCTCCAGAGGAGGGAGGAGGAGGAGAAGCAGGAGCAGCTGCCCCAGGCAGGACGAAGGCAGCGGGATTCCCGCCCTCACAAACTTGGCCGTTGGCTGCCATGCTCGCGCTGTGCAGCGCGCGCACGCGGGAATGCCGCATGGTCGTATGTTGATCCGCCATCGTCATTGTTAGGATCCGTGCGCGCGCCATCACACGGCAGGTGTGAACCGATGCTGGCGGCGCGCGCAGTGAGGTGGCGCGAAGGGGGCGGACTTCTGAGGTGGCGGGGGGGCTTCTTAGAAGGCAGCGCCCCTCTTAGAAGGGCCCCCGGGGGTGGACAGAAACCCCATCCTGACACGCCGATTAGTGAATTGTTCGTTTCCGGTTCTCGAGAAGGCGCCGCGGCCGTCATTTTCCAGGCTTGCGCCCGCCAGGTTTGGGCCCGAGGTCGTTTTCACTAACCACGTTTTACTCAAGGGGGAACTGTCCATCCCCGAGGCCCGAGGGCGACTCGGAAGGCTTCACTTGGGCCGGGAGGGCTTCTACGAAGGGGCCCCGCCTTCTTTGAGGAGCCCCCGCACCGCCTTCACATATAGACGGGCGCCCGCCTCGCGCCGCCCCCCTTGTGCGCGGCGCCAGAAATGGGAGGGGGTCGCCGGGTGGTGCTGTCCGGCCCCGTGGGGTCAGATCCTCGGCGAGGTGCGAATCCCGCGAGGTTGCAGCGAAAGAGGCGGGCGAGCCCTCCCCCAAAAGGAGACCGTGGAGCTGCAGACCGCAGCGCTCGAGGCACTGGCGAAGTACGTGGAGAACAAGGAGCTCGCCAAGCTGTTCGCTGCAGCAGGGGGCGAGCAGCTCGTAAAGGACATCATGAGCCAGCACGCTGGGACGGCGAAAGTGAAGAGCTTTGGCGACATGGTGCTCACGGGCGTTAAGCGCAATATCGATTGACTCTATCCAGGTACCTGCGGCAAGCCCCGCCAACACGCCAGCGCAGCATCAAAATCCATGCAGGAGGGTTCTACCGAGCTCTCCCGAGCAGGCTTGGTGGAACCATCTTGGGTGAGGGTGTACGGAAGGCTGCGCTGCGATGTTATAGTGCGTCTTCGGTTTTTGCGCTGCCTCCTGGGGCCTATTGGAGGCTTTCGCTCTCGGAGGCTTTGCCGGAGACCTTCCTGGGGGGGGGAGGGACCTTTGCGGGCATATTTGGGGTATCGCGGCCACTTCGGGCGTGGCGCAATGGTTTTACCGAGTTCTCCAAAGGGAATGTGATTCAACATCGTGGGTCCCGTCTGGGCGAATACCGGGGCTGTCTTGGAGCCCTCTCGGAACCGACTTGGGAAATTATGGGGCCGTCTTGGGGCCGTCTCAAAGTTCTGGGAGCATGCAGAGGTACAAACATATCCGATCGTCGTTTTGTGTAATTTTCTAGGGCCTCGCTGGAGGCACCCTTGGGGCCATGCCATTGGGAGGCCTCTGTGCGTCTGTAAACTGGTACTGGAGCCGTCCTCGATCTATCTTCGGGCAGTCTTGGCCCTTTTTTCCGCAGGGGATGGCCGATGGCTGTGGGCGGCGGGGGGGGTCGCCGCTGGAAACGGAGGAGGGAGGTGGAGGATGGACGCCGGCAGCCAGGAGGAGAGGAAGAGGGACAAAGGAAGGAAAAGGAGGAGGAGGAGGAGGAGGAGGGTCGAAGAAGAGAAAACGCCGTAAGCATGAACTGCTGGCCCACCGCGCCGACCGCCAAAAGTTGATGTTGATGCCGCTTGCTGTTGCTCTAGGAGGAGGAGGGGGAGAAGGAGGAGGGGGAATGGGTGAAGGAAGGAGGTTAAGGAGGAGCAACAGCAACATGCAGCTAGTCTACAGTCAAGACGCTGACATCAGGAGCTGGTCGGGCTCGGAAGGGGCTCTTGCCCGTGTCCTTCCGTGGTTGTTCGTCTGGCGCCTCTCGTGCATCTAGTCCCTTCTGGTGCCGAAGCACAATCATCGTTTCGTGCTCAGCGGTCCTCCTCTTCCGCCTCCTTCTCTTCCTCCTCTCTTTCCTCTCCTTCTCTCCCATCCCCTCGTCATGTTGCTCCGCCGCATCCTCGTGGGCCTCCGAGGACTCCTCACAGCCCAGAGCCCCCTAGAACCCTGCAGAGCTCCGAGACAAAGCTCGTCGTTCTCCCGTCCTCTCCCCCATTCTTGCAAACTGCTCTCCTCCTCCTCCTCCTCCTGCCTCCTGCGCCTCCCAGCGCGAGCTCCAGGACTCTGGCCGCCTGGTGTGTCGCTCCGCTGGCTCCGGCCCCCCACGCTTCGGCGCGCCGCGCGAGCCCCGTCCCGGTCCCCCAGGCCTCCGCGGCCCCTTTAGCCCGTCCCGGCCCGCGGGCCCCTCGCGGGCGGAGCGACACGCGATCCGCGGTGCAGGGCTGCAGCGCGTCGCCGGAGCGGCCGCGGCGACGCCACAGAGCAGCAGCGCCCGGCCGCAGCTCGGCGGCAGGCGGGCGGCCAGCGGGCGCCCCCCCGACAGCACGCCCCCCCCAGCGTGCCGAGGGCGCGCGGACGGACTGTCTGACGGGGGCGCGGCCCGCTCGCCTTAGAATACAGCAGCAAGTCGGGCGCGCCCCTCTGCAGGAGGGATGTGCAAGAGAGCAGTCAGAAAATAGTCTGGGGACGATGTTTCGACTGTTGTTGAACATGTTTGGGTAATGTTTTGACTATTTCGATGTTTCGTCCAACACCCGCCTTCAGGGGGACATGCCCGACCCAAGATCAGCATGGGGGGAACGGGTCCTGAGGGACACGGGGCCTTCCATCAGGACAGGTCCCAGGGGCCCTGGACCTGACGTCTTTGACAGGCTTTCTTCGGGGGACCCCAAACGGGGTGGTGACCACACCGCGTGGTGAATCGGTGGGGATTCGGGGTCACCGCATGGTTTTGAGACTCGAGTCCCTCTCCGAGGATGTCTCGGGCGACAGGGGCCTCCAGGGTCCCACGACCGTGCGGTGACGAACCGTGCGGTGAGGTCCCTTTGGGTTCGAGGTCATTGCACGGTCTGTCACCACACGGTTTTGGGATCCCCAATTTCTGACAGGTCCCAGGCCACTGGAGGGCCCCGAGAGCCCGAAGACGGCGAAAAACTTCAGGACCCGTTTCCCTCAGGACCCATTTCCCCCAAAGCGTTTATCGGCGGCGAGCGAGGGGGGAAGTGAGAAGGAGGAGGCCTTCTCAGAAGGCTCGGAAGTCCCCCAGCCTCCGGAGAAGTTTTCTACGCCTCCACGGAAGACACAACAAACACCTCTCGGAAGGCGCGAGGGTTTTTGGAAAGCCCCGCCGCCTCCTGAGAAGGCCTTCTCCTTATCGTTTTATGATGTGCCAACCTACTTTAGCCCTGATCGCAAGAAAGAATTTCGAGCACCAAGAGAGTTCAGAATTTGGATGGTTTTCACGTGTCGGGCCCTGGGGGGCGATACTCGTTCCCGGGTGCTCGGAATCAGTTTTGAGATGTGGCCCTCAAGTACGATCGGAGCATCACAGTTCTCGCTGCCCCCCCCCGCCCGCCGCCGAGACTGGAGGACGGCGGACTTTTTCCACCAGCCCCGGGCAGGGGGCCTGCCAGTCGGAGCGAGGGCTCGTTGTGGGCGGGCCGCTTGCCAGGAGCCCGCCGTCCGCCTCGGCGGGGCCCGCTTGCCGCACACGCGCTGTCGCGCGGCAGCGCGGCGGCTGCCGCCCCGCTCACCGACAGAGTGGTATTATGGTGCCCCACGGCAGCCCCCCCCTCCCCACACTCATCTCCTCCCCCCCCCATGCTTCAGGAAAGGAAGAGGTGCCGATGCCACTACCCTCCCCGCGGTTTCCCCCTGTTGAGCCTCCTGGGAGGCCCTCGTCGCCACCGCTGCATTCGCGCGTCGAAGTCTTGGCCACAACGCGCCCTAGGAGAGGTCTGGGGAGTAGCTGTACCGGTACCTTTTGTCTGGGCCTCCCAAATGGGGTCCGAGCAGATGGGGGTTGGAGGATCGCGCCGCATCGCCGATGCATCGACGATGCGGCTCGACGTGCAGCCCGTGTTTCTCCACGCCGATGTCGGCGATGCATTGCTGGTGCATCGCCGATACATCGCTGATGCATCGCCGATGTATCGGTGATGCGGCGCGATTCTCCGACCCCATCTACTCCGACCCCATCTAGGAGGCCTCTAATTTGGTTTCCCTATTGCTCCCCTCACCCATCCTCTCCTCCTGCTCCAGTGTGCCCTCTCACTACCCCTAGCTGGCTCATCTCCTCGCGCGCCTCGTGGCTCCTGCTTAATTATCGCGCGCTCCCCCCAGATTCCTCCTACGTGTTCGCCCGCCTCCTCCCCCTTAGGCAGTAGTATCTTCCCCGTCCTCCCCCTCCCGCTCCTCAGCATGATTGCATTCCAGTCCCTCATCCTCCTTCCGTTCTCCTCATCCTTTTCATCATCACCCTCCTCCGCTCCGGTCCTCCCCGCCATCTCGTTCCGCCGCAAGCCCCCCAGAGCCCTGCAGAGCTGCAACAACAAACTCCTCGTCGTCTTCCTCAACATCATGCTGCTCCTCTTCCTCCTCCTGCCTCCTGCGCCTCCAACTTACGGTCAGGAGCTTTGACTTAGTGTGTCACGCCGCCGGTTCTGGCCCACCGCGCTTCGGCGCGACACGCGAACCATGTCGCGATCCATGAGCGTCCACGTCCTGAGCCTTTCCCAGGCTCCCGCGCCGTGGAGCGGAGCGACACTCCATCCGCTTGCAGGGCACGGCGTGTCGCCGGGCCCGCCTCCGCGACGTGCTGAACACAGGTTTCCGACCGTATCCTCCTCGGTTTCTTCCACCTCCACCCCTGCCACCTCCACTCGGTGGCGAGCGAGGGGGGAAAGTGAGAAGGAGGAGGCCTTCTCAGAAGGCTCGGAGGTACTCCCGAGAAGTGTTATCAGCTTTCCCCGAGGGCGCAGAACACTTCTCAGAAGGCGCGGGGGCTTCTGAGAAGCCCCGCTGCCGTCTGAGAAGGCCTTCTCCGTCTCACTTCCCCCCCTCGCTCGCCGCTGATCCTCCTCCTCTCCCTCCTCGCCCTCTCAGACGGCCCACACGACCCGAGACCCTCCGAATCTTCTGAGAAGGCCTGCCCCTTCTCGCTTCCCCTCCAGGCTCGCCGCCGACTCCCACCTCCTCCGCCCGGCCCGGCGATGACAACGACGACGGGCCGTGAGCGCCTCGACCCGATCTCGTGTTCTCGGCAGGTGGCCTTCGTCGCCCCCCCGTCCGTGCCAGGGGAATGGGAGAGGGGAGTAGTAGGAGGGGGAGGGGGAGGGGAGTAGGAGGAGGAAGAGGAGGAGGAGGACGGGGAATAGGAGGAGGAGGAAGGGAGGAGGAGGCGGAGAAGACAGGAGGGAGAAGAGGAGGAGGAGGAGGAGGAGAAGGAGAATGGGGAGGAGGAGGAGGAGGAGGAGGAGGAGGAGGAGGAGGGGCAACAGCTGGGAGAAGGGAAAGAGAAGGGAGGGGAGAGTAGTAGGAGGAGGAGGAAGAGGAGAGTGAGGATAGTGATGGTGGTGGTGATCGATGCTGATGATGATGGTGGTGGTGAGGGTGAGGGTGAGGGTGATGGTGGTGGTGATGACGATGATGGCGTTGATGGTTTTGATGGTGACGATGATGATGGTGATGAGGATGGTAATGGTGATAATGGTGACGATACTGGTGTTGCTGATGTTGGTAATGATGATGATGCGGATGTTGACGGTGATGAGTACAGTGAGCGGCTTGAACAAGGCACACTTATTTTTCAAAAAGGGCTCGGTCGTTCCTGAGGTTTGCATGCGTTTGGTTTATCGTTCTGAATGCGTTATGTATTACGTATCGTTCCTTATGCGTTATTCCTTGGACAAGAGGGGCTTCGTTCCTTATGTATCGTTCCTTAGGCCAGGCCGATTACTGTATGTCGATGTTGGCGCTCACGATGATGGCGATGATGTTGTTGATGATGGTGGCGATGATGGTGGTGGTGGTGGCGATGCCCGTGGTGATGATGGTGGAGGTGGTGACGGTGATGGTGTTGATGATGGTAATGCGGCTGCTGATGACGATGATGATGTTGATGATGATGGCGATCATGCTGACGGTGATGAAGATGAGTACGAGTATGAGGGTGTTGGTGCGGATGGTGATGATGTTGTTGATGATGAGGATAATACTGACGGGTGTGATGATGATGATAATGACGATGCTGGTGATGATGAAGGCAATGATGATGATCAAGCTGATGATGAAGATGATGACGACGACGATGACGATGGCTGATGATGAGGAGGAAGAGGATGCTGATTATGTTGATGATGATGGTGGCGATGAGGATGATGATACTGATGATGTTGACGATGATGGTGATGATCATGATGATGTTGGTGGGAGCATGGTCATGATGACGACGACGATGAAGATGATGGCTGGTGGTGATGATGATAGTCGTGATTATCTTGATGGCGATGATGGTGGTGAGGATGATGATGATAAAGATGATGACGACGACGATGATGATGATGATACTGATGATCATGATGCTGATGATGATGATGCTGATCAGGGCCTTTGTCGGCCACCGGGTCTCTCAGGCGGGCCCGCCCAACAACGGCCGAGTGGGACCGAGCTGCCACGCGCGCAAGCCCGCGCGGCTAAGAGAAACGAAGATGCCCACAACGACCAGGACAAGTGCAAACCCAAGGCGCATCGACGATATTGCCGCAAACCCTCCCTCCAAGTTCACAGGCCCATGCATGAATGTATTTCCATTGCGAGAAGTTCCCCAGTGGAAGACAACCGTGTGAGAATCCCTGAGCGTGCTAAACACAGTTCCTGGGTCTTCAGCGCCGCAAACTAACGTGATTTATTGCGTCCTGAGAATCCCAAATCGTGCCGCTGGCACTACAGCACAGCGAACACCAGTCTTGGAAATTCAACAGTTTGAAGCCTTTAAAATGACTGTAAGTGTTTAAGATGAATGTGCCCCGCGCTAAGGGCAGAACCACATGTTGACAACAATGTGCCCTCCATCCGCACCTGTTGCGAACGTTTACGACAACTGTGTGCGGCGCTGAAGCGAGAGTCACATTTTGAAAACGGCCCGCCCTCCATCTGCGAAGCTGCTGCAAACTTTTTCGACGAATGCGCGCGGCGCCCAGGCGAGAGCCGCATGTTGAAAACGTCCCTCCACCCGTGAAACCTCGCAATGTGTGAGACGAATGTGCGCGGCGTTGGCGCGAGAGCCACATTTTTTGAATACCACCCGTCCTCCATCATCCGTAAAACTGCTGCACATATTTAAGATGAGTGTGCGCGGCGCTAAGGCGAAAGCCACATTTTGAAAAGGACGGGCCATCCATACGCAAAGTTGGTGCAAACTTCAAGCTTCAAGGCCATAGTGGTGAGGACGGCTCAGGCGAAACGCCCAGCACGCCTGGGGGCGCGATAGGAAGAGGAGGCGGAGGAGGAAGAGGACGAAGACGCCGGCGACGAAGACGACGACGACGACGGCGACGGTGGCGGCGACGACGACGGCGACGACGACGACGATGGCAACGGCGACGGCGACGGCGAAGGCGACGGCGACGACGACGACGACGACGACGAGGACGACGAGGACGAAGGCGACGACGAGGACGTGGACGAAGCCGCCGTGCCCGCGCACCCCTTGAGCCCCCCGAAGGCCGCCGAGCCCGCCGGCCGGGCCGCCCTGCGCGGCGGCCCTTGCCCGGGGTCGCCCCCGCGGGCCGTGCCCTCTGGGCGGCGCGGGCGCCGCAGGGCAACGGCGCTCGGCGTCGGCGTCGGCGTCGGTGTCGTCCTCCGCCGTCGGCGGCGCCGGCTCCTCTTGACCGAGGCCCAGATCTCCAACGCACTGGAAAGATTAAGACTGAGGCCTGTCGCCGTTTGCGTCCTCTGGAGGCTCTCGGCGGGCTCTGGGACCGCCAGCAGAGAAACTCTGGATGAAAGTCTGGTCCCTCGGGAGTGGGTCGGGACTTCTGGAAAGAAAAAACGGATCTATGGTTCGGCGTGAGGAACGCCGGCTCCTCTTGATCGAGGGTTCTCTCGTGCCTGGGCCTGCGGGCCAGGGGTGAGATTTGGGTTCTTCTATAATTGGCCTCCCCCCCCACCAGTCAGGACCATCGTAGGCCTCACCAGTGAGGACCGCCGTGAGGCCTCGCACCCTTCGCAGCTTCGGTCATACGGGCTGCAGGGGTGGAACCAAATCCCCACGAGCCTGGCACCTTACGCGCAGTGCCGGGGGTGGCGGCCCGTTTTTCCCCATCCCACCCTCTGCGGGGGATGTGAAGTCCCTGAAGCCGGGACGGGGTGGGCACGAGTGGGCACCGTAGCGGGCTCACGATCGAAAGAGGAAGAATCGCCTCACCACTGCAATTTCTCATTGGCATTCATTTCATGCGTATCAGCATGCTCTCTCCCCTCGCATCGTGACAGAAAATTGCGGGAGGTGTCCCACCATAGCCCGCGCAGTAGTAGACAGGAGTGAAGGGGGATCGCCGGCAGTCCTGCGAGGCGCGACGGCAAGTTTGAAGAAGCCCGCCGCAGGCGGCGACTTTTTTGTCAAAGCAATGTGGGCGGGTCGCGGGTCGGGTGGGTCGCGGATCCCCAAACAGCAACACACCCAGGTACCGTGTAAAACCATTCAGCGCCCTCACTCTTACTATGTTCGGCCTCTGGGGCCAGGGCCGAGGGCGGATGCAAATGTAGCCGAGGGCGCATGCGCTCCAACCAACAAAAATCTGACTATGCTCGGCCTCTGGGGGCCATCGCCGGGCCCCGGGACCGTCAAAAAACGACTCGGGATGAATTGCTGGTCCCGGTGAATGAATCGAGACCTCCGCGGGGTCGCGCTTTGAACTTTGAACAAAGAAGGAAGCATGACGTCGGGTGTTTGACTGGGTGCCCCGAGGGATGAAAGTTCTGAGGCTGACACAGTCGGGAACTTTTGGATCGCGTGCTGCTCCGCCGGTTCTGGCCCACCACGCTTCGGCGCGCCAAGCTGGCCATATCCCAGTCCCTTGGCGTCAACGTCCCGAGCCTTTCCTAGCCTCCCTACCCGCGGAGCGGCGCCGCACGCTATTCGTTTTCAATGGCACAGTGTGTCGCCGGGGCCGCCGCCGCGAATTCTGTTCTTCTTCGGCTTTGGAGGGGGACGCTGTGAGGCCCGCAGTGGTTCTGTGGGCGCCTGCGCCCGTCGGGCCTGGCCCCGGGCCGCCTTCACAGTGGCGCGCTCCTCGCGCGCCAGGGGGAGGGGGAGCAGCGCATCTGGGCCACGAAGCCCGCCCGGGCCTCCGAGGTCAATTCTATGCAGATTTGACTTTTTCAGATCCTCAGCGTCGCCGACGGCGTCGATGCGGTCCTCGTCCAGATCCTCGTCCCCCCCGTCCTCCTCATTCTCCTCCTCCACATGGTCGTCCTTCCAGATACCCGACGTCGTGGTTCAAGAGGCTTACGTCATTCCACCGACTCCCAGAACAGGAGATGTGCGGTTTCCGATTCCGAATGCGTTGTTTGTTGCGTGCCCTCATGCTGCCTGCCGCCGCTGTTTCTGGTCCGTCCTCCCTCCTCCTCCGCGTCTGTTGCGTGGCGTCTTGAGGGTTCATTGAAGGCCTCTGGGGCGGCCTCTTGGAAGCCTTTTCAGGGCTTCCGGGTGCCTTCTGAAAACTCGGAGGGCTTCTTGGGGGCCTGTTGGGGGCATATTTGAATCATGATGGGTGTCGTGGGGGCCATCCTGTGAGGGAGGGCTCCCAGGTCCCGGGGCCCCTACGAGGTCCACCTCTTGGGCCTCTCTGGCCTCTCTCTGAGCCTTCTTGAAGGCCTTCTTGGCCGTCTTCGGGGCCTTTGCGGCATGGCGACAATTCAAGTACTGTTCAGGAACATGATATACTTTAGTTTGACCCCTGAAGGCCGTTTTGTGGGTTCTCTTGGGCCATCTTTGGGCGTCTTCATGCGTCTTGGACCGTCCTGAGGTTATCTTAGGTGCTCTGGAGGCCTCCCAGGCGCGTTGGACCTCGTCGGTGAGCCATTTCAGAGGGCGCCACGGGCATAATGGAGGCTCCGAGTGCCAGGGAGGTGCGCTAGTGAGCCCGTGCATCCACCCACCCCACACCTAGCCCCCCCACCCCGGCCCTCCTCCCACCCCCCGTCTCATGAGATTTGGGCCCCAGGAGGGAGGGGAGAGGGGAGGGGGGCAGCCCACTAGTTCATATGCCTCTTCCACCCCTGGCAAGCGAGGGTCGGCGCATTTCGCATTTTGCTGACAGCGTGGCTGGACCCCACCGGTCGGCGGCGAGAGAGGGGGGGAAGTGAGAAGGAGAAGGCCTTCTCAGAAGGCTCGGCAGTCCCACGGCATTCTGAGAAGTGTTCTAAGCCCTCCCCGAAGACACCAACACAAAACACCTCGCGCAAGGCGCGAGGGCTTCTGAGAAGTCCCGCCGCCCTCTGAGAGGGCCTTCTCCTCCTCGCTTCCCCCCCTCGCTCGCCGCCGAACCGGCCTTCCCGTCCTGAATCGCAGGGGGCCCTTGCGGGGCCCCTGGGCCTTGTGAGGCGCCTGGGCCCTGCTTTTGCAGGGACCGAGCGGCAGCAGAAGCTGGTCCGTGGTGAGCTTGCCGCGACGGGCGGAGGTCCGCCGTCGGGTCGCAGTTCGGGCCTCCAGCGGCCGTTCTGGACGATGTGGGCACCTTTGGGACGCTCTCGGCGAGGCGCAGCTGTCAGGGGCAACGATAGGGGGTGACAGGCATAGGGGTGGGGGGAGTGCATCGACCCCCAATCGCCCACTGGTTGCCGACGGGGGCCCGACAGCTCCAACCTGCCCAGGAACATGCGGATTCACTATCGGAGGCCTATCGCCGATCTATCGGCGATGCATCGCCGATTCCAGGTCGATGCCCCCCCCCCATGCAAGCCCCCCCTATCGTTGCCCCTCAAGCTGTTGGAAAACATGACGAGGCGAAACCCACGAAAGCTTCGAAAACCTCTCACCTCGAGCTGGGTGATCATCCTCCTCCGCCTCTGGTCGTGATCCTCGTCGTCGCCCTCGCCTCGCCTTCGCCACCCCCTCCCTCGGGCCTCACCCCCCCTCCTCGCCCCCCATCACTCCTCGCCACCTCCTCTCACCTCCACGATTACACATCATGAATACTGCTCTCCTCTCTTCCCTGATCCTGTTGGTTTGTCTTCTGGTGTTGTGCCATCCGATTTTTCCCGGTGCAGCGTGGGCCTCATTTTCGGATCGGCACACTGCTCCCGTCATTCAGAATGGAGCCCTCGCCCCAGCGCGGGCCACTTCTCTGGATACGAGTTCTTGTTCATCGCTGTCACCCCTTAATTTATCCTCCGCCTGCTCCTCCCGCTCCTTCCACTCCAGCTCATGCTGCTGTTCGTCCTCGTCCTCCTCCTTCCTCATCCTCCTCCTTTCCTCCTGTTCATACTCCTGCTCATTTGCCTCCTCCCTCCTCCTCCTCCTCCTCCTCCTCTCCTCCTCCTCCTCCTCCTCCTCCTCCTCCTCCTCCTCCTGCTCCTCGTTCTCCTCCTCCTCCTCCTCCTCCTCCTCCTCCTCCTCATCCTCCCAAGTACGCGGCTCATTATTTTCCGATGGTGTATAGCATGGCAGAGCCCTCTTTGGAGCTTCAGGTCCGCTATGAAACGTGCTAGCGGATAGAGAAGAAAACGCAGCGAGCGCAATGGGATCGGGTGTTGCTAGAAATGCCCCTGGCCCAATGTGTCCCCAGGATGCCCAAGGAGGCTCCCACGGCCTCCAGAGCACCAGGGGCTCCAAAATCGAGCGAGAACACCTGGGGGCGCCCTGGGCCAGGGGCACCCCTGGCAACCCCCAACGGGAAGGGGTGGGTGGGAGGAGTCGCATGTCAGCGCGGCGCGAGCGCGCCTGGCTTGCCGCCCCCCCCACCCCTCCTCCTCCTCCTCCTCCTCCTCCCTCCTCCTCCTCCTCCTCCTCCTCCTCCTCCTCCTCCTCGTCTCGTCGTCTCGTCGTCGCCGTCGTCGCCGCCCTACCTCCTCGTCGTCCTCGTCGTCGCCGCTCCGGTGGCCCCCGCCGCGAGGGCCGCGCCCCGCGCCCCGCACGCCCCCGCCCTCCGGCCGCCCCGTGGCCCCCCGGCCCTGGGGACTGCCCCCTCAGACCTTCGCAGAGCCGACGTCTTCGAGCCTCTCGGGTCGGGCGACCATGACGGAGACGTGAGTCGCGGGCGATGTTTCTCCCCCAATCCCGGAGTTGCGCCCGAAAAATCTGGCCGCTCAGAAGAATGGGAAAACCCTGGGATACACCCCAAGGGGGCTATTCGGACGCACCCCTATTGAGAATGGACACCCCCCCCATCGTATATCCCAGGGTTAGGCCCCAAATTTCTGGTCCATTCGGAAACCCCACGAAGCCTGGGATAGGGGTCGACATATCCCCTGTTAGTGAGGACTAGCGTTCCCGGAGATCGAACGCATGGAAAAAGCACGACGGAGGTGTTTCTCCATGTTCGGCCTCCATAGGGGCCCTCGCTGGACCCTTCGGACCTTCGAAACAGTATTCGGGATGAAGAACCGGCCCTGGGGGAAGGAGTCGAGACTTCCGGGGAGCCTGCATTGCAAAAATCACCTCGTCGGATCTTCGGGTTCGTGTCATAGCTCGGCTCTCCTGCGGCTGCTCGGGACGATCCGAGCACCTCCGGCGAACGCTCTGGGCGAGGCGTAGCTGCTGGAGAGCATCCGAGGCTGGAACACCGCCGAGGACCGACGACGACGCCCGAAGACCCCGAACCTCGAGGCCCTTCGCGCCCCCCCCCTCCCCGAGCGTATCCCCGAGTCCATCGGGGAGACGTAAGACTCGGGTTCGGGGGACTCGGGTCAGCCTGACGGGGCCACCATGAAAATGGTGAGACCCAGTCTGGCATTTGCCGCGAGCCCCCCCTGCAAACGCAAGCATCCCACGAAAACGGGGCCGTCAAAATCCAGGACGCGCTCATGAAAAAGCGTGGGCAAACACGAGAAAAGCACAGAGGCCCCAAGCGGTGCGGTGACCGCACCGTGTGGTGAGTCAGTGGGGAGTCGGGGTTTTCGCACGGTCCTGTCGGTTTTTCCTGCCTCGGGATGTGCTCCAGCAGTTCCGCCTCGCCGACAGCGATTGGGGGGGGGCAGGATCACCCCGAACCGCCGCCCGAGGCCCGAGTGAAGGCCCGGCAAGCAAACATGCGGAGGAGGGCCAGCGTGGTGAGTCGGGGGGAATCCGGATGACCACACAGCTTTGAGACTTGGGGTGTTCTCCAAGGACGTCTATGCCTCGTCCTCCTGCTCCTGCTCCTCCTCCTCCTCCTCCTCCTGCTCCGCCCGGTCTGTCGCCGCACCCTGTTGGGGCACCCGTGATGACGGGGGGGTGCGAAGTCTGTTTTGCTTGCAGCTGGTTGCGGCCACGCGCGCCGTGCGCCCTCCTCGGTGTGTACATATATATATATATATATATATATATATATATATATATATATATACATTGGCGCATCTGCCGTGGGGAGGCGCCAGGAAAATCGGCTACCTATTCCCAGGCATGATCGCTTCGTTTGTGTATACATATACATGTATATATATCATTATATAGTTATATATATAATTATGCATATATATTATATAAAAAATACATATGTATGTGCATAAACACATCTATGTACATATATTTATGTGTATGTATGTATGTATATAGCTATACATACATATGTAACTATATACATACATATATATATACATATGAAAAGGACGCGGTGCTTTGGCAAATTTCGGCCTCGGGGGGCCCTCGCCCGCCCGGCCTCGGGAGCGTCAGAAGACGACTCGGGGTGAAAAACTGTCCCCAGGGAAAGGACCGGGAGTTCCCATGGGCCCCGCATGGAAACAAATCAGCACGTCGCACGTCTGGGCCCCCAGCCCCCAGCTTCAGAGCCGACATCTTCGAGTTTCTGTTTTACACCGCAGGGCCCGTATCTCCACTCAGACGTCTGGCGCCGTGATCTTCGTCGCGGCGTGGTTCCCCACCGGTCTGGACGTTCTTTCTTGGGATCAGGATTCTCGCCGGGTCGCGTTTCATGGTCTGGGGGCCGGGTCGCCGCCGGCAGGGGCCCCAGGAGGTCGAAAGTTGCCCGACAATTGTCCGTCGAGTTGGTTTCTCGACTCGAGAACGTCATGGCACCACCGGCTCGTGCTTCCACCATTTCCACCGAGAGTTGCGAAGAAGGCGACGGCGAGGACCACGACAAGTGTTCAACATGTTCTGACGTTTTCGTGGGCTCCCAGAGGCCCTTCCAGCCCCAGGATGCTTTCCAGCAGCCCGCCCGACGTGCCACCGTTGAGGTATCAATTTCTCAGCCGCCTGGGGGCAGGCGTCCCCGGCGGCGGAAAAGCTTGCGTTACGCATGTATTCGTCTGACCGATGGAGAGAGAGACTCGGGGCAGGGAAGTGGACGTTGGTCGCGTCTCGAGGCAAAAACTCATACGTTGTTGGGTTCACGCCGCCGCTGAAGTCGTTGGGCAGACCTTGCGGTCATGAGCGTTGGCTCAGCGCGTTACTCCGCCAGTTCTGGCCCACCGCGCTTCGGCGCGACACGCTGACCACGTCCCGGTCCCCAACCCCAAAGCGTCAACGTCCCGAGCTCTTCTCCCAGCCCCCTGCCCCACGCGGAGCGGAGCGACACGCCATCCGCTCGCAGGGCATGGCATCTTGCCGGGGCCGCCGCCGCCGCCGCCGCGGCACGCCAAGCAGAGGGTCCCGACCGGGTTGGACGAAATGAGCGTCTCGACTGCAGGCGAGAGTCCGCTCCAGACTTGAGGAGGAGGAGGAGAAGGGGAGGAGGAGGAGGAGGAGGAGGAGGAGGAGGAGGAGGAGGAGGAGGAGGAGGAGGAGCTCGGCCCTTATTCCCATACGGGGCCGATGTTTCTCCTCCCTTGCCGCGTTCTGACGGCCCCCTGGGGCTCAGGAGCGGCCGTCCGGAGGCAGAGGACATGCAAGCAACATTTCCATCACGGGAGTAAAAACCAACCGGACCCCACAACTGGCGTTGACTAAACGGCCCCGGGCGTTTACTAAACAGCCTTGCCCCGTTTGATTCCTTCCTTGGGTGCGTTTACTAAACAGCTTTCGCGTGTCGGGGTGATTCGTATAGGGGTGGATGTTTTGCCTTCTGTTTCAGCGTCCACCACTCATGTGTTGCCCGAGGTGCTCCTAATTTTCTTTCTCGCGCCACGCTGGTGCCTCTGAAGCCCTCTTGGCCCCGTGAGGGATACTTCGGGAGCCGTCTGCGCCTCATCTTTGTTCGAGCCATGCGTCGTCGCCCAATTTCGGGGCCCAGGGCCTCCACAGATGGATCCGAGTCGGAGATGGTGCAGAGAGAGGGAGGACTGGACTTTTGGTCGTGGCCGAGGCGTCGGATGTCGGGGGAGACAGCTGGAATCACCCGGGGCCAGGGCCGTCTCACTGGCCACACTCAGAGGGTCGCCCCCCGAGAGGGGGCACGGCTCTCGGGCCACACCTCTGGCCTCCGGCGGCCGCTCGGGAGGCCCTGGGCGCCCCCGGGACGCTCTCGGCGAGGCGCGGCTGCTGGAGAGCGCCCCGAGGCAGGAAGACCTCCGGGAGCCAGCGAGAACCTCCGAGCGCCAGGAGCCTATCGGCGGCTCCGAAGAGCGTGCGGCCTGCAGAGGATGCGGCCTGCAGCACGCACCCCGGGGGGCGGGCGAGGACCTGGCACGCTCTCCGCGGCGAGGCGGCTGCTAGAGAGCACCCTCCTGCTCCTCCTCCTCCTCCTCCTCCTCCCCCTCCCTCTCCTCCTCCTCCTTCTCCTCCTCCGCCTCCTCCTCCTCCTCGTCCTCCTCCTCCTCCTCCCCCTCCTCCTCCTCCTCCTCCTCCTCCTCCTCCTCCTCCCTCTGCCTCTCCTCCTCCTCCTCCTCCGCTCCTCCTACTCCTCCTCCTCCTCCTCCTCCTCCTCCTCCTCCCTCTGCTCTCCTCCTCCTCCCTCTGCCTCTCCTCCTCCTCCTCCTCCTTCCTCCTCTCCCTCCTCCTCTCCTCCTCCTTCTCCTCCTCCTCCTCCCTCCTCCTCCTCCTTCCTCCTCCTCCTCCTACCTCCTCCTCCTCCTCCTCCTCCTCCTCCTCCTCCTCCCCTTCCTCCCCCTCCTCCCCCTCCACCTCCCCCTCCTCCTCCTCCTCCTCCTCCTCCTCCTCCTCCTCCTCCTCCTCCTCCTCCTCCTCCTCCTCCTCCCTCGAAGCCTCGAGAGGCCGAGGACGACGAGACGCCTCGGACCCGGCACGCCCAGACCCCCCTCCATGACAACACCCCAGGTGGTCCGAAGCCTTCCCAGGGACCAGCTTTTCATCTTGAGTGTTTGTTTGGTGATCGTGTGTTCATTCATTGATTTGACGATCGGAGCGCCCCCCCCCACCCCCTCCCCGTTCCCCATGGAGTAGATCTTGGCTGTTTTTTGTGGCGCCTGTCTCGAACAAGTTGAACTTCCCCCCCCATAGGACGCACGTCTGCAAACAGCCGCACTAAGCAGAGGTCCGGAGCCAGACACCCCCCCTCCCCTCTCCTTCCGCCCAACGTCGAAACGCCGAATTAGAAAACGCTCACCTGATAATCCCGAGGCCCAGTACGGGCGCCCCGAGGCCGAAACCAACCAAAATCGGCCGTCGTCAATTTTCACGACGCGAAGATGCCAGTGTCAAACACACGGCCAGAGCCCTGGACCCCATCTTTGTGCGGCAGTTCTCGAGCTCGAGCCAGGTCGGTTTGTGCTGGTCCGAGGGCTCGAAACTATGCGACAACGCCTGGTTAGAAAGTTGCAGCCCCCTAGTCTCAGGCATCTTGGGCCGTCTTGAGGCATCTTGGGCCATCTTGTGCCATCTTGGAGGTCATCTTGGGCTCTCTGAGGCCCTCTTGGAGCCGTCTTGGGCCATCTTCGATGCTCTGACCGCTCGCGGGGCGCCCCGTCCTGGTCCAGGGGAGGGGGTAGGGGGAGGGGCAAACCCCTCCCATGGGGGTAAGAAGGGGGTTGGAAGAGGTGCCTCTCTAGACCACCTACGCCCAGAGGGCTGGTGGGAATTGCAGCGCCCTGATCTCAGGGGGCGGCGAAGACACATCAGGCTCGACGTGCTCGGGCCTCTGGAGGTCTGGGCCCCGCCGCGATGGGCTCCCGCGGCGAGCGGATGCGACGCCGCCTGCGGCTGCTGCCCCACCTGCTAGCCGGCGCGGGCGCGGCGCTGCTGGCGGCGGCGGGGCTCTCGTCGCGTTGGAGGTCTGGCTTGGCCAGCCAGTCCTCATTGTCGTCGTTGTCGTCGTCGTCGTCGTCGTCGTCGTCGTTAGCATCGTCATTACAGTCAGCACTGCCATCGCCATCATCAAGAGCCCCGCCATGCCATCATCAGGATCATCATCAGCAGCAGCAGCAGCAACCCAATCATGTTCAGCAACAGCATCACCAGCATTAACAACAACATCAACATTGGAATCATCAGGATCATACTCATACGCATACTCACCATCATTATCATCATCATCATCATCATCATCATCATCAGCAGCATCATCATCATCAGCGTTGTCCTTTTGCGGTGCCCTTTCGCTGTGACGTGATCGCCTCTGTCCCTAAGAGTCTTCTTAGATGGTACGAGAGGTTCTTATGTAAATTCTCTTATCCTCCCTCCTCCCCCACTGCTTTACATGGCTGCCTTCTCGTGCATGAGCTTTTGCTCTCTGCGCTCAATATCCGAAGGAGCGAGGATTTATGTGGGCCTGGGAGGCTCGAAGGGCTCCTCCGAGGCATGGCTCGTGCTGTGGCCAAGAGGGCTCCAGCACTCCGTGAAGCTTCAACTAGGCGGTCAGACACACGAGAATGGCTATGATTATCGTCATCACCATCAACATCAGCATCATCATCAACATCCTTATCCTTATGACCGTCATCATCATCATCATCATCATCATCATCATCATCATCATCATCATCAGATTCCTCATTGTCGTCATCATCATCCTCATCATCGCCATCGTCATCGCCGTCGTCATCCATAGTATGATCACTAGTCCTATGTATCATGATGTGTTTATGTTTTTTGTGGCAGTCTGATTTTTTGTGTATCACTATCATTTGTACTACGATGATCCTTATCATCATTGCATGGCTTCGGAAGGTGTTCTGCGCAGGGGCGGCGCCGTCGCACCTCTCGAGGCCCGCTCGCGGGCCCTGAGGGGGTTCCTGGCCCAGTACCTCTGGCCATGGCGTCTCGTCGCAGTCTTGCATCATCTTCCATATCATCATACTCATATTCATTGTCAATGGCATCGTCGCCATCATCGTCGTCACCGTCACCATCATCATCATCATCATCATCATCATCATCATCATCATCATCATCATCCTCATCATCACCATCCTTATCATCATCCCCATCACCCACATCATCATCATCATCATCATCATCAGCATCATCATCATCATCATCATCATCATCAGCATCAGCATCAGCATCAGCATCAGCATCATCATCATCATCATCATCATCATCATCATCATCATCATCATCATCATCATCATCACTACCATCATCACCATCATCAGCATCATCAGCAGCATCATCATCGCCGTCATCCTCGCCATCGTCATCTCGAGGTCCCGCATGGCCGACCAATGGCAGGGCCTGCGGTCCAGGTACGAGCTTGGCTCGGTCGAGGAGCACCGGCGGCGAACATGACCCAATTAGAAGCTCGAGGTTCTCGACGGTCGAGCTCCTGGCGGACGCTCGCGGTTTCAGGTTTCCGAGCGTTTTCGTGGGCTCGGGGAGGCTGTTCCCGCCTCGGGATGCTTTTCAGCAGCCGCGCCTCGCCGAGAGCGATCCGTCCCGAACGGCCACCGGAGGCCCGAGCCGTGGCCCGGAAGCCAGACCCCTTCGCGCCCTGCAAGCATCGCGACAGAAGTCTTCTGGCACTTTCCGGGGGCCACGGGGCGTCCTCGCCTGGCCCTGGGGGGAATCAAACAGTGGCTCGGGGAGAGACCTCGGGGTGTCCATTCTCTGAGCGGCTTCCCCCCACTCACCCCTCCCCCTCCTCCCCCTCCTCCCCCTCCTCCTCCTCTCCTCCTCCTCCTCCTCCTCCTCCTCCTCCTCCTCCTCTCCTCCTCCTCCTCCTCCTCCTCCTCCTCCTCCCTCCTCCTCCTCCTCCTCCTCCCCTTCGCGCCGCCAGAAGGATGTGGGCGCGGACGAGCGCAGACTCGCGGAGGCGAGGATGTGGGCCGAGAGGGACAGGCATCGGAGGGCGCCGACTGTACGCAAGCACTGGCCCTGGCCAGGCCGATCTTGGGATCGTTTTCGTATTCATTGTTTTGCCGATCGGCGCGGGCCCTCCACCCGCTCCCCCCCCCCCTGGAGTAGATCTTGGCCGTTTTGGGCGCTTGCTTCGAGCAGGTGAAGTCTCCCCCACAGGGCGCACTGCTGCAAACAGTCGCACTAAGCAGAGGTCCGGAGCCAGACCCCCCCCCCCCACCCCAACCTTTCCGCCCAATGTCGAAACGCCGAATAAGAAAACGTTCGCCTTAGGCCTGGGAGCGGTGTACATGCCTTCGTGGCCTACAGCCACGAGGGCGCACAGACAAAGTTTCGGGGTGAGGCCCGATCTGGTCTTGGAAGGGACGCGTTGCTCCCCAGGCCCTCCCTTGGGGTTCTTCCTGGGCATCTGAGCGCTGCTGGGGCAAAACGGGGGCTGCGCACCCCACCCGGGGTGCCTCACGGCAGTTGGGCGCCGACTATGCCCAGACGCCCGACGTCTGATGATTTTCCATCGCGTGGGTACCCCAGAGGTCTGGACCTCGTCCTGGAGAACAGCTTCGCATCCGGAGCAGATTTGCGACGGCTCTGGGGCCCAGGAAGGGCCCCTGGTATTGCCAAACATGTTCCGCTGTGGCTTGTGCTTCAAGGCGCGAGAAGTTCAGGCTTCGGGCCATACCTCTGGCCTCGGGCGGCGGTTTGGGGCGATCCAGACACCCCCTGAACGCTTTCGGCGAGGCGCAGCTGCTGGAAAGCGTCCCGAGGCTGAAAGAGCATGCCGAAATCCACGAAGACGTCCGAAAGCGTTGGAACCTCCAACTGGCCCCCAGAGCCGCTCAGAGCCCAAAGCCCGCGAGGATGGGAGGGAGCTCTGACTGACCGTTCCCACCGAACATATGGGCCCAGGATCGGCCGGGCCAGGCCCCCGTGCCCACGCTCGGGGGCGCTCAAGAGAGGGGTGAGGAGTGAGGTGGGGGGGCATCTCATGTCGGGGGAGCGTAAGACCCGGGTTTGCCAGGAACCGGGTTCGCCATCGTTTTTTGACGACCGCGCCTCGGATTTTGACGAGGAGGAGTTTCGTGGGATGTCTGCAGCGGGAGGCCTCGTCAAAATGCAGGCTCGGCCTCGTCATTTTTTTTGACGACATCGTCGGGGATTTCCGAGTCCCTTGTACCCAGGTCTTACGTCCCCCTGATCATGGCCAGGGCAATATCTAGGGGAACGAACAGTGGCACAAACATAACAACTCGGAGGTCCGCGTGGATTTCTCGGGTCGGCGATGGACCCCCTTGTCGGCGCCTCTGCCGCCGCCCGTGGCGCGCTGCGCGCGCCAAGAAAGGGGGTCCAGCGCCGATCCGAGAAATCCGCGCGGACCTCGGAGTTATTATGTTTATGCATTGTTCATCCCCCTGATAACATGTATCCCTGGCCCCAGTCTGCTTCTTTCAATACGTCCCCTCGCCCGCGTACCCTGACATCCGCGGCTCCAGAAGGCCCGACCGCTTCCCCCTGGGTATTGTCTCGTCCCAGGTCCCTTCCTGATGGCCGCGGGGCCCGACGGCGCACCCTGAGCAACAACAGCAGCAACAACAACCACAACAACAGCAATACTTTTGAGACTGTTCGCCCTTATATGCTCGAGTGTCCAATCATGCGTATTTCCAAAACCCTCGATACCCGCCCTCTTCGTCTTCGATCGAACCCCTTTTGGGTGGTATACCTTTCTTCCCTGCAGGCCGGGCCCCGGCAAGCGGCGGGGCGGCCGCGGACCGTCGGCCTGGCCAGCGGCAGCGCTGATCGGCGGGGCGGCCGCGGACCGTCGACCCGACCCCAAGAGGGACGGACATGGGACCGACCACGACGACGACGACGACGACGACGACGATGACGACGACGTCGAAGACGACGGCGACGACGACGACGGCGACGACGAGCGAAAGCGAGAGAGAACGACAGCAGGGCCACGAAGGGCACGAAGTAGGCCACGAAGGGCGACAGCGGGGACACAAAGGGAATGCGTATGGGGCCACGAAGAGCGCGAACGAGCGGGGGCCACGAAGGGCAGATAATGCGGGGCCACAGAAGGCAACTATGGGGCCTCTGAGGGTAGCAAGTGGGCCACGCAGGACAGTGAGGGGGACACAAATGGCGACAGCGGGGCCACGAAGGGCATGCACATGGGGCCACCACGGGCGCGACTCCTGGGTGCCTGGGTGTCGGGAGCGCGGCGCTTGGGCAAATCGCAAGAAACTCCAACGCAAGGCTATTCTTCAGTAAGTTGCAAGCAAGTCTCCAGCGCGCTACCCCAGAGCGCCGGGAGAGCGATTCCTGAATAAATTGTAAGGAAGTCCCACGCGAGAGCGCGATTCCTGAATAAAATGCGAGGAAGTCTCGGGCGGGAGCGGGGGTCCTGGCTAAATTGTAAGGAAGTCTCAAGCGGGAGCCGTTGTTGTTGTAACCCGGGGGCCAGGGGCCCAGTTTGAGCAGGAAGATTTTCTTTGTCAAAAAACAAGGTGCGAGCGTCGAGGGGCACACTTTGATTCAGAGAAAAAAAAACAGTATGCACCGGTGGAGGGACCAACAATAATTATTCTTCCGAAATGAGAATTCAACAGCAACAACAACAAGTTTAAGACTGTTCGCTCTTACCTGCTCGAGTGTCCGTTGACGCGTAGTTCCCAAACCCTCGATACCCGCCCTGTTCGTCTAAGATCGTACCCCTTTTGGGTGGTATACCTTTCTTCCCTGCAAGCCGGGCCCCGGCAAGCGGCGGGGCGGCCGCGGACCGTCGGCCTGACCAGCGGCAGCGCTGATCGGCGGCAGCCCGATTCCAAGGGGGACGGACAGGGGACCGACCACGACGACGACCACGACGACGACGACGACGACGACGACGACGACGACGACGACGGCGACGACGAGCGAAAGCGAGAGCGAGAGAGAGAACGACAGCAAACCCACGAAAAGCACGAAGTAGGCCACGAAGGGCGACAGCGGGGACACGAAGGGAATGCGTATGGGGCCACGAAGAGCGCGAACGAGCGGGGGCCACGAAGGGCAGATAATGAGGTCACGGAAGGCAGCGACGGGGCCACTGAGGGCAGCAACGGGGCGACGCAGGACAGCGAGGGGGCCACAAAGGGCGACAGCGGGGACGCGAACGGCATGCACATGGGGCCACGACGGGCGCGAACGAGCGGGGGCCACGAAGGGCATACGTAGATTGGGCCGCGGAGGGCAAGGACGGGGCCATTGAGGGCAGCAACGGGGCCACGAAGGGCAACGATGGGGCCACGAAGCGCGACGGCGGGGCCACCAAGTGCATGCATATAGGGCCACGACGGGCGCGGACGATCGGGGGCCACGAAGAGCATACATATATGGGACCACGAAGGGCAGCGAGGGAGCCACGAAGGGCTGCAACGGGGACACGAAGGGTAGCGAGGGGGCCACGAAGGGCTGCAACGGGGCCACGAAGGGCAGCGAGGGGGCCACGAGGGGCTGCAACGGGGCCACGAAGGGCAGCGAGGGGGCCACGAAGGGCTGCAACGGGGCCACGACGGGCAGCAAGGGGGCCACGAAGGGCTGCAACGGGGCCACGAAGGGCAGCGAAGGGGCCACGAGGGGCTGCAATGAGGCCACGGAGTGCAGCGGGGGGGCCACGAAGGGCTGCAATGGGGCCACGAAGGGCAGCGATGGGGGCCACGAAGGGCTGCAACGGTGCCACGAAGGGCAGCAAGGGGGCAACGAAGGGCTGCACCCGATTGTTAAAATAATGTTTGGGGGAGTCATTGGCGGGAGCGCGACTCCTGAGCGCCTGAGTGTCGGGAGCGCGGCGCTTGAACAAATTGAGGGAAATTCCTACGCAAGGGCGCTATTCTTGAGTAGATTGCAAGCACGTCTCCAGCGAGAACGCGACTTCAGAGAGCCGAGAGAGCGATTTCTGCATAAATTGTAAGGAAGCCCAAGCGAGAGCGCGATTCCTGAATCAAGCGCGATGAACTCTCAGGCGGGAGCAGGGATCCTGGCTAACTTGTGAGGAAGTCTCAGGCGGGAGCCGTTGTTGTTGTAACCCGGGGGCCAAGGGCACAGTTTGAGCTTCAAGAGGTTCCCTGATAAAAAAAAGGGTGCGAGCGCCGGGAGGGGCACTTCAATTGACAAATACCATATGCTCCGGTGGGGGGGATCAACAATAATTACTCTTCACTTCGTCTTCGAATGCACCCCCGCTCGGGAGGGGAATCCCTTCCTTGTCGACCGCTGACTGAAGTGCAAAAAAGTCTCCTTTCGGAATATCCATGGAGAAATATCGAACGAGAGCCCTTGTCGCCGTGTGCCTCCACCAACTTGCCAAAGTCTCGAGCGAGAGCGCCGTTCTTGAGTTCGGGGGCCTCTCTGGCCAGGGGCTCTCGGGATAAATCGTGAGGACGTATCGAGCAGGAGCCCTTGTCGTCGTGGCTGGGCCTTTGCCAACTTAATTGAATTGCGAGGAAGTCTCGAGCGAGAGTTCCGTTCCTGAGTTCGGGGGCCTCTCTGGCCAGGGTGTCTCGGGGTATATTGGGAGGAAGTATCGAGCGGGAGCCGTTGTTGTCGCAGCTGGGCCTCCAAAGGCCCACGTTTAGGCTCAGGCCACAGCCGGCGTCGAGGCGAGAGCCCACGGAACCGTCTCCGGAGATCAACGATAACTATTCTTTAGAAGTGGGTACGTATTCATCAACAACAACAACAACAACAACAATCATTTTACCCGAACGCGTGGTGTTCTCCCCAGTGCCAGGGCTTTCATACGACACCAGGCAATACCCCCACTTCGTGGGGGGGCATTACAAGCTCTACCAAATATCCAAACGACTCTTCGCGACCACCCAAACCCAGCTTCCCGCCCCATGACGTTGGGACACTTCACTTCGTGGCGTGCGGACGACCGTGGCTACTACACTGGCGTGGGGTACACACCCACAGAACCCAATGGTTTTTGGAGATTTCGGCGTGCGCGCGCGAAGAAAAAACGAATGTGTCCCGCATGGTATTATTTGACAGGGATGATGGCCTGGCAGGTGCGCAACCGTTGTTGCAGAAGTTCGAAAAAGTTGCTCGCAAAAGCCCGTTTGACAGAAATGTTAAAAAGTGTTGGGTTTCCTACGAATCCGCAAGAGCGCGCGGGATGAGATTTTGACATTTTTTTTTGTTGAAAAACCATTGGTTTTTTGATGTTTTTATGTTGAAATCGCTCCGAACACTAAGCTTTTGGAAGGATTTCGTCTTGCGCGCGCGAATGTCCACTTTACCTTATTTTTTGCAAGGGATTCTTGAAATTTGATTATATTTGAACAAGAAACTTCATTTTATAGTGTTTTTTGCAAAGGAAAACGGATTACAACAAAACAACCGGATCTTGATCAACTCGAATTACCTGAGGCTTCCTCACGAAAATGATGAAAACGTGGCTGCGGCCTAGGCGCGGCGGGGGGGGCGCGCACCAGGGGGCCCAACAATAATTATTCTTTAGAATTAATAATGTTCAACAACAACAACAACAACAACAACAACAACAACAACAACAACAGCACCAACAACAGCAACAATGATAACGACAACAAGACAACAACAGCAGCAGCAGCAGCAGCAACAACAACAACAGCAGCAGCAACAACAGCAGCAGCAGCAGTCATCGGAGATTTGGGGGCAAATGCCTCGGGCCATGATCGGAGGACCCCCCCCCTCTAAGGCGCCCCCCTCTTGGGCGTTCCCGACGGGCGGCGCCCTCCCGACAGGCAGGAACTGCAGGAGCAGCTGGAGAGAAAGAAGGCCAGGATCCGCCAGCGCGCCGCGCGCAGGAGCGAGGGTCATGAAGAGGAGGAGGAGGATGGAGAGGAGGGAGTAGGGAGGAGATGGAGGAGGAGGAGGAGGAGGAGGGGAAGGAGGAGGAGGAGGAGGAGGAGGAGGAGGAAAAGGAGGAGGAGGAGACGGAGGAGGAGGAGACGGAGGAGGAGACGGAGGAGGAGGAGGAGGAGGAGGAGGAGGAGGAGGAGGACGGGGAGGAGGGGGAGGGAAGAGGGGGGGAGGGGGGGGAGGAGGAGGAGGAGGAGGAAGAAGAAGACGAGAAGGATGGCGTGGAGAAGAGAAAGAGGACCAGTGTGAGTTCAAGACGCATCCACGATGTTCAACTCCATAGGCCCGTACAAGAATGTATGCTCATTGTAGGAAGTGCCTCGCTGGAGGACAACAGCGCCGCGAATCCACGTCACCTCTGCGTCCTGACAGCCAGAAATCGTGCCAGAACACCATTCTTGAGACTGCAACCATACGATTGTTTGAACTGGTGCAAACTTTCAAGGCGAGTGGGCGCTGCGCTAAAGCGAGAGCCGCATGTTGAACATGAGTCCCACTCCATCCTTGAAATTGCTACAACCTTCTTGACGAGTGTGTGTGGCGCGGAGGCGAGATCCGCATGTTGAAAGGATCCTGATGCGCGCGGCGCTGAGGCGAGATCCATATTTGGAAAACGGGTTGCCGTGCATCTTTGAAATTGTGGCAGGGAGGAGTCTCGAAGATGGAAAAGAAAGGAAGAGTAGGAGGAGGAGGGGAAGGAAGGAGGAGGAGGAGGGGGAGGGAGGAGGAGGGAGGTGAAGGGAGGAAGGGGGAGGAGGAGCCCTGAGATCCAGGCGTTGCAGTTGTTTCATACCGAGCGTCGTTGCCCTCCTTCGGGCCCAGGGAGCCTCACAGACCGATTCGGCTAGAAAGACGGCGCAGAAAGAAGGGGTCATGGGCGTTGGTCGTGATGTATTCTGCGGTGCTGCATGTTTCCGCAACGTCGGATCTCAGGGGAGGATTCTGAGGAGGAGGATGAGGAGGAGGACGAGGACGAGGACGAGGAGGACGAGGAGATAAGGAAGAGGCGGAGGAGGAGGAGACGGAGGAGGAGAAGGAGGAGGAAAAAGGAGGGGCGGAGGAGGAGGAGGAGGAGTATGGTGCGTCACAGACCTTCTCCGCCTTGGGAAATAGAGGAGGAGGAGGAGGAGGAGGAGGAGAAGAAGAGAAGGACGAGGAGGAGGAGGAGGAGGAGGAGGATGGAGAAGAAGAGGGAGGAGGAGGAGGAGGAGGAGGAGGAGGAGGAGAAGGAGGAGGAGGGAGGAGGAGGAGCAGAGGACAGGACCTGCTCCCGCAGGAGCGAGCGCCGGAGGCGCATGGACGAGCAGCGCGCCGCCAAGGTCAGAGGTCGGCTGGGCACCGTCGAGACCGCCTGGCGCACCGGCCGGGACAGGCGGCCCCGCCGGGGGCAGCCGCCGTCCTGAGACGTCGCGTCCCGGTTCCCCTTCTTCCCCCTCTTCCTCCTCCTCCTCCTCCTCTCCTTCCTCCTCCTCCTCCTTCGACCTCCTCTTCTCCTCCTCCTCCGCCTCCACCTCTTCCTCCTGGTCCTCCTCCCACCTCTCCTCTCCTCTGCCTCTTTCTTCACCCTCATCTCCTCCTCCTCCTCGTTCTCCTCTTCTCCCTCCTCCCAAACACCTCCTCCTCCAACCTCTTCCTCCTCCTCTCTCCACCTCCTCCTCATTCTCCTCCTCCTCCTCCCTCTGCCTCTCCTCCTCCTCCTCCTCCTCCTCCTCCTCCTCCTCCTCCTCCTCCTCTGCCTCCTCCTCGCGCGGCGTGGAGGCCCGACCGTGGTTTTCCTGCTGCGACCAGCTGCTGCCGCTGCCGAGCCGCGCCTGCCGTCGCCGCCCCGACCCCTGACCCCTCCCGAGGCCGCTCGCTCCTCCTCCTCGCTCCTCGCTCCTCGCTCCTCCTCCTCCTCCTCCTCCTCTCCTCCTCTCCTCCATCCTCCTCCCTCGCTCCTCGCTCCTCGCTCCTCCTCCTCCTCCTCCTCCTCCTCCTCCTCCTCCATCTCTGCCTCTGCCTCTGCGTCTGCCTCTTCCTCCTCCTGCTTCACGACCTGGGCATGCACCTGCAGAAGCTGGCCCTCCTCGTCCCGCTCGCCAGGATATTTTTTGTCGTGCCGAACTCCTCGGCGATCTTCGCCTCAACTCTGGTTGACCCAAAAGGGGGTCCAGCGACAAGGGGGTGGTGCAGCAGATTTGGTGCAATGAATTTGCGGTGTTGCGATAGATCTGGGGTGTGTAATACATTCTGTTGCGCAAATGTATTGCTGGTCTTTCGCGTGCAAAAATGTGCAAAACAGTTACCCAAAACCTATCGCACCACCCCCTGTCAGTGGATTCCCTTTGTGGGGCAACCAAAACCACTTGAAGAAATGCGTCCTCCTATCGCTCTGGGCCAAGCCCACCGACTCTGTCAGGGCCGAGGTTGGCGACTTCCTCCACCGCTTCTTGCCCGACTGGGTCGCCTTCAAGGTCGCGGACGAGGGCATCTGCCTCGGCGTGCACGTGGCCCCTTGCGGTGACAACTTGAGGCAGTGGGCCGCTGCGGGGTTGAAGTGGCGGCAGCGCGTCGTTGCGATCGGCTCCTCGTGTGCCCCGATCGACGCCAACTTTTGTTTGTGCCAGAAGTTGGCGATCACGGCCCTCAGCTACCTCGCGCAGTTCTTCGACCTACCTCCTCAAGTTCGCCGCAAAGAGATCCACGCCGGTCACAAAGCGTTGCGGAAGTCTCCCGGTACCTTCCTTCCGTCTGGTGGACGTTCAAGCGCTGGCCTTCTGAATCCTTGACCATTCGCCAAGATCCCTGTACACGTACTCGCTGGGGACGTTGTGGCGAGCGGCCTCCTACACCGTGGCGCAGTGGTGCGACCTCGTACAGCCAGCTCTACACAGCCGCTGGCCGTGCCTGCAGTCTACCCGCACTTGCTAAGCATCACTGGTCGCCACCCTTCTGGAAGGAACCGTTCGCCATCGCCCAGCGTCTCGAGGCCATCGTCAGAGGCGAGTCGTTGGTCGTCCCTCCTCGCCACTGCCACGATCTGGTAAGGGCCTCGGTGATTACCAAATGCGCCGTGCGCGGTGCCGAGCAGGATGGTATCAAGCCGAAGCCCCAACGCCATGTCATCCTCGCGCAGATCGCCCATTGGATGCCCGACAGCTTCGAGGTCACGCTGCAGAAGCGCTTGGAGGCGTGGTTTGGCCCTGGCAGTGCTCCTCACCACCCTCGTGCCCGCTGGCGAGTACTGAAGGTACAGATTGCACACGTTCCACCGTCATCCCGCTGGGTTCTGATGCGGACGCTGGCTGGCCGGTAGCACGCCAGTTCATTGATGCACGTCGCTCCCGCTGTCGACTCGTGCAAGTTCGGCTTCGTTGGCGCATGCGACTCCATCTCGCACTACCTGCAGTGCCGTTGGCTGTGCCACCTCACGTGTCTGCCGCGCACCTTCGCCCAGAACGTCGTGCGAGACCGCATCGGCTTGGGCTCGCACTATCCACAAGACGGGAACACTCGTTGTCGAGCTCTCTCGAGCACCTCATCTTTTCGTACTTCAGGTGCATGTCAAGACCGAAGGGGTCGACTACACCTTGGAGGTCCACCTTATCGCGCTGAGCGCCGCGAAGGATCATCCTCAACCCGCACAATGAAGCAGCTGAGCTGGCTCCCTACGCTCCGAGGCCTGCGCCCGCCTCGGTCAGAGTGGGCGACCGCTCCCCCGGCTCTACGCATGCTCCTCCTCCTCCTTGCTCCTCCTCCTCCTCCTCCTCCTCCTCCTCCTCGGGGACCCCCGTGCCACGATGCACCGCGGAGCAAGCAAGCAAGAGGATTTATGAATCCAGGGCGCGACGCAAGCCAGAGGATGCATTGATCCAAGGCGCGCCGCACATCAGAGGATTGATTAACCCAGGACGTGCCGCACAGCAGAGGATTTATTAATCACGTGCGCGCCCGAACGTGAAGCGGGATGTCTGGTCAAAGTGAAGACATGCACCACCACCATAACACCATTAAGAACTTCGTGTCGTTTCGTTGCGTCTGGCATTGTGGTACGATTGTTCGCCAGGGCGGGAATTAGGGCGGCTGTTCCGATGCAGCAGCACCTACCCACTCATGGCGCCACCCCTCGGCAATAATTGTCACGGGCGACTGTCCTGACCCCTCTCGCATGGGATGGGCGGCCCGGCCGGGAATCGCCAGCCCGCATTGTTGGACAAGATGTGCCACTGAGTCGAGCAACCTGACCAGTGGCCAGACACCGCTCCTCGCGCCAGGCCATTGTGCTGCTTGGCCATGTTCTTCCGTCGGGCCACCGTGCCCCCCAGCTTGGCGACACTAAGAGACTAGGCCCACTAACAGAGGTAAGGCGCCCCAAAGCCATGTTACCTTAAGTCCCCGGGAGGCCCCAAGTGGCTCGGTGACCACACCGTGGGTGATTCAGTTGGGATTCGGGGTCACCGCACGGCTTTGGGATTCGGATCCTTCTCCGAGGACGTCTCGGGCGATTGGGGCCTCCAAGGTGCCAAAACCGCGCGGTGACGGACCGTGCGGTGAGGTAATTCGGGATATCGAAATCACCGCACGGTATGGCACCGCACGGTTTCGGAGCCCCCAGGTCCCCCCGGACACGGGCAAGACACAGCCTAGCGAAATTTGGCCGGGCTGAGCTCGGTCAGCTGAACTCGGCCAGGCTGAACTCGGCCTGCTGATCTCGGCCTAGGGCCTTCTGCAGGGGCGCCCAGATCGTCCCGAACGGCCGTGGGGGGCCAAAGTTTCACTTCGCACCTTTGGCGGGGAGCTGGTCATGTTGGAAGCTCTGCGGCGATTCCAGCCTATGGGGGCCGCCGTCGGGCCAAAGGACATTTGTGTCTGTGTCTGCGGCTGTGTGTTTGTGTGTCTGTGTGTCTGCGTGTGTGTCTGTGTGTCGGTGTGTCTGTGTGCGCGCGTGCATGCGTGCGCGTGTGTGTGTGTGTGTGTGTGTGCGTGTGTGCGTGTGTGCGTGTGTGCGTGTGTGCGTGCGTGATTGCGCGCGTGCATGCGTGCGTGCGTGCGTGCGTGCGTGCGTGCGTGCGTGTGTGTGAACGTGTACGTGGGTGTGTGCGTGGGTGTGGTGTGGTGTGGGTTGTGGTGTGGTGTGGTGGGGTGGGGTGGGTGGGTGGGTGTGTTTGTGTGTATGTGTGTGTGCGTGCGAACGTGAGTGCGTGCGTGCGTGCGTGCGTGCGTGCGGGTGTGTGCGTGTGTGCGTGTGTGCGTGCGTGCGTGAATGCGTGTGTGCATGCGTGCTTGCGTGCGTGCGTGTGTGAGTGTGTGCGTGTGTCCCACTGATGCCCGATCGCCGGAGCAGTAATCTCTGCCCAGCCGCCGACGATAAAAACACGCGTGTGTGTTTGTGTGTGTGGTGTGTGTGTGTTTGTGAGTGTGCATGTGCGAGTGCGTGTGTGTGTGTGTGTTCGTGTGTTTGTGCGTGTGTTTGCGTTTGCGTGTGTGTTTGTGTGTAGGTTTGCGCGTTTGTTTGTGCTTGTTAGTGTGGGTTTCTGTGTGTGTGTTGCGTTTGTGTGCGTGTTTGTGTGTGTTTCTGTTTCTGTGTGCGTGCGTGCGTGCATGCGTGCGTGTGCGTGTGGGTGTGGGTGTGGGTGTGGGTGTGTGTGTGGGAGGGTGGGTTTATGTGTGTGTGTGTTCGTGTGTGTTCGTGTGTGTGTGTGTTTGCGTGTGTGCATGTGTGTTTTTGTTGCGTGTATTTGCGTGTGCGTGTGTGGGTGTGTGTGTGTGTGCGTGAATGGGTGTGTGAATGTGTGTGTGATTGTGTGTGAATGTGTGTGTGTGTGTTTGTGCGTGTGCGTGCGCGCGCGCGTGCGTGCGTGCATGCACGTGCGTGTGCGTGCGTGTGTGAGCGTGCGTGCGTGCGTGCGTGTGTGTGTGTGTGTTTGGTCCGCATCCACCGCCCTCACGTTGTGCTACGGTTTCGCCATTCGCGGCGCTATCGTGGCCGCCTGCGTCCTGCTTCCGCCTCCCGCCGCGCCTCGTACGCCCTCTGGCTTCGGCGCCTTGACTCATCATTGGGACCGGCTGCCATACCGGTCCACAGTGGTGTGGTCTCCGCTTCGCATGCGTTGCTCCCCCCGGTCGGCCGCCTGGTCTGCCGGGCTGCCGTTCCCCCCAGCTGCTGCTCAGCGTTGCCGCTGGTCCCCCCCCCACGGCGCTCCCCCTCGCCGCAGCCAGTGACTTGCTTGAGCGGGCCCGGTTTCCTCTCTCCCCGTCGCGCGGGTGCCCCCTCCTCCTCCACCATGCATTGCGGCATCAATTTGCATACAGAGCGTCCACTGTTACCAGATTTCTGGAGCAGTCACCCTCTGCCCAACCGCCGACGTAAAAAGTGTGTGTGTGTGTATGTAT